CTCGTGTTCATCCTCGAGCAGTGGCGGCTCGTAGTTAAAATTAGTGGGGGTACTGCTCCAGACAATTTTTATCCTTTTTTTTTCAAGATTGTGTAAAAGGAAACAAACATGTGTAAGAAGAAAATTTATTCAGAAACTTGAGAAAATCCTAACAGGTATAAAGAAAGAATTAAAGAAAAAAGGACTCGTCATATTAAATGTTATCGATAATATCAAATGGAAATAGGGGGTGCTGCAGGTCCACAGTACCTATACACGAGCCGCCACTGTCTTCGAGAGAAAAATCTCTTATTACAGATTATATTCTTGTTATTTACATTGTATATTTTTTTTTTCAAATTGACCCCGCGCTTCCTCGTTGTACCGCACAGATATACATATTGACGTAACTCTGACACTTTTAACACTGATCTTCTTCTACTCAATTTCTACTCGATTTCACGCACGCCTCGCTGGTCCCTGAAAGCTCGGAGCTTTGCAAAGTTTTACTTCAAGTTATCTGCAATGGTTGACGAGTAACCGGAGGCAACTAGGGGTGGTTACATGGGTTACTGGAGATATCAAGGAGATAACTGGAGATAACAAGAAGATAACTGGCGAAGTTTTAATTCACGCGCAGTTAGGGAAGAGTAGAGCTTTTTTACAAGTCACGTGCCGTATAAGCTGTACGTTGGACGAGGGAGAAGGAAAAAGAAGAAAAATGGGAAACGAGTGTCTCTAAGTGATCCTCTGAGTAACACGTGTTAAATTGACTAATCGAAAGTACGAGTGCGTATACTTTACTGTTGTTATTAACATGGAAAATGTACGCGGACTTGGGATAGAGTGGAATTAGTGGAAGCTGAGTGCTTTTAATACGATAAAGCTTAATGTGTGTACGCTGAGAGATGCGGGTTTTAAGGGTTGGCTTTGTGAACGCGTCATAAGATATCGTTGTACGATTAACTCAGGTTAACCAAATTCGGAAAGAAAAGTCTCTGTCTTACATCAAAGCTTTTTAACGACAGCGCTATACGGATTTTTGTTCGTTAATGCAATTTCAAGAAAAACAAAAAAATAATGGCGGACTCTTGAATAAATGAATCAACCATCGTCGGTTTATGTCATGATTGTATTATTGGCTGGTGTTTCGATTATGCATTTGAAAAGGAAATAAAAAGCTCCCGTTCATATCCCCCTATGTGCTTTAACGGCATAACGTAGTCTGCATTATATACATAACTATATAGGAATATATGTATACGTAATTTGAACGAATTGAAATGTATTATGAACAGGGACGTCTCTTTCCGCTTTTCGCGATTAATCGTAATAGAGTGCGCTTTGATGCGTCGGCATCCGATGCGAAATTAACGGATCCGGACTAAGTGCCATCTGTCCACAAATCTCGCACTTTGCGATGACGTCACTCTGGTGCCGAACCCTGACTGCTTGTCGAAGAATCACAAAACGACGCAAGCTTCATTATTACTAAGCTATTAGTGTAACCGATAATAAATAAGGATGTCACTTTTAAATGTATAGTGAATTCGACGTGTTCCAACAGTAAGGTATGGGATGCTGGATACAGATAATACAGCCCAGAACCGTGCACGGGATCATCCTGTCTCTGACGTCATTAAAGGGATATCCAAGACATGGCATAAACGATAGGAAGAAAAAGATTGATGTCCCTGCACATCTATCTCAAATAGAGTTGAGGAAGATTTGGATCTTGTCAGACTCTTCCATTCAAAAGATCCTCAATCTCGCTGCTCCTGGGCTACTGAACTAAACAACTTGTTGCCTGTCGCATCCCACTACTGCAATAACGCCAACACTTGAGAGCATTGACTCATGGTACCTACCCTATCTCCTCTCGTTCAAACTCCCGAATGCAGCTGATTCTAACTTCTTATTTGTTGAAACAATATAATTCTCTAACTTAATTATAGATCTAATTAGAGCCAACATTATGTAATCAGTCCTGCCAAAGGAGTGTAGGATATTTGCAGACTTGATATACATTGAAAAAAGTAACGAACTGGGTGATCATTCCCATGTAAATCAACTGCTGGTCAAATGGGCTAATGGTCGAAGAGTCTTGCCACGAGGCTCCAGTCACCAGAAAATCTCGTTCCCTGATGACAACGCAAAATGCTCGTCTGGACTATCTAAATGTCAGGGACGTAGAATGTCAAGTTGGACCAGACGATATTGCAATTCGATTATACCTAGATAAGGTCTAATGGAGAAGACCGCTAGGGGTGGATGGTGATTTTGTTTCGATGGAAGATATTTAAGAGCCATCCCTATTGACATCATTGACAAGCATCCCCTTGACCTGACCCACGAGAGAGTAAGGACAACTACCATTAGATGCAAAAGATCCTTTTTCTGACGTAAGGACCCCTTAGGAAGGCCAAAGAGGAGTCCTATGGGAAATCTAGGGAAATTCATTTACAATAGAAATATTGAAGTTGCTTGGAATTGTTTACGTATTGCAAACCAAGTTCGCACTCGGTTTTCCGACACAAAAATGTAATCTAAGGATATTGCATCCGGTGACCAGTGGAATTCATCGTGCGTGCCAAGGGAGTACCTTGTTGTATGTAGTTTCCTTGTCGACGTCATATCAACCGGAAGTTCTTATAGGGTACGATACATGATTGTCTATATAGTTATATATGCCTATAGGCATCTACCTACGGACTTATCTTCTTACCTGCTTGCTGGTAGACTTGGTACGAAATTACTCTCGAGATCGAGTCGATAATTAGATCGACTGGAAGTTCGAAACTCGACTAGAACGACGGTAGCCGAGGAACTCTGATAATCAGCATACACCGTCGAATTCACCAAGTTAAAGTCAATACCTCGTTACGCGTCGGGTAAAATCGATGGAGATTGCATTTGTTTTGGATGGCGCGAGGGACTGGATTCATGGAAAGAGTCACAGAAGTGAAATTGGTTAGAGAAGGAAAGAGTTCGAAGAGTTCCCTCAGGATTGACAAGATAGAGGAATCACCATTGAAAGACCTTTTCATAGGAATAGGGGTAGGTAGCAGATGTTTATTTTCTTCCTGATAACGTGTTGAAGGTTTGGGTATGTCCAGGTAAGAGTCATCCTTAGGGATTGCCAAGAGACCGTCAAAGTTCCTTGGAAGGGTAAAGTATCAAAAGGATTCTTCAGAGAATGCATCCCTGTAGTAGTCACAATGTATAACCCTAGGAGTTGGTTACGTCATCCTGGGGATTAATGGCGGTGATATGTCCGTAGATAGGGTGATTAGACGATAAGGGAAAACGTGGAGGATCACGTAGCTCGTAATGTACTCGAATATTTACATAGGGTTGATTTTGACAAGTGAAATATGTACAATTCCGAATAACAGTGCACTATTTATACAATGTGTCTAATATATGTGATCGCACCTGGACCTCAGGGGTAGCTAAGTGTTCGTATACAGAAATTGTAATAATTGAGTAAAAAATATTGAGTCTGGACAATCCTAGTAATCAACGGGTCAGTTATGCCCCGCGGCTAGCCTCCCTCTCGCTTAACCCCTGAACAAATTTAATATTCATTAACGTCTCATCTGCATATCCAGCCGTCGCACGTACGTTACCAGGAAACTAAATAACTTTCTATACATATTCAGGTAGCAGGATAAGTATCCATATAGCTTTTTCACGCGCTGGGTGACATTTAATTATTAAGTCCACCCCAAGGCCAGCCAGTCGCCCAGTTGTATTCAATCAGTCAGTCAGTAAGTCAGCCGGCAAGCAATCCCCGCTATTTAGCTCCACCGGAAAACTCGGCTTAATTCAATTAAATCGCATTAAAAATCCTCCCTCTTTCATTCTCTGATTGTAAACGCTCCTTCAATTGTCAAGCTGCTACTTTGAAATCCTCCCTTAATTATTCCCTTACTTCATTCACACTGATTCGGATTGTACGGATATTCGTGGTTTGTTAGGATATTTTTATTCTTTTCATCAACAGTCTATCGTCCCCACGTGGCAATGACAGCGCAATCTTTTCATCTGACAGTTCAGTTCAACAAACAATCAAGGACTATCTGTAATCTCGTTGGTTTAAGAGAGGCTAGTAAGAGTACAAGACAGTTTTAGATTATAACCAACGTTCCGAAGACATTCATTATTTTTATCGGCGATTCATCAAGAATCACGTCCACTAGGGTCCCGTCCAGGCTCAATTGTTATTCAAAATGGAGATACTCGGAGTAAACAAATTTTCCAAGCTCTTTTGAGACTACTGAAAAAAGCTGGCCCCCGCCTCTGATTTTACTTAATTAAAAGAAACGAGGCGAATTTTTGATTCGTACATTTCGTCGCTTTACGTAAATTATATTTTTATTCTTTTTGCCCGCCTCACTTAGCCGTCTCACATCTATACGAATTACTTATCATTTTTTAATTTACAGAAAATTCGTCCACGCGAATATTTGCTTATTCGTTAATACTTGTCTTTCCACGTTTCCAAAGTATAGACGATAAACACCTGATTTAAGCGACCTGTTATACATACATATAATCTTGGCATATGTAGATATAAAATCCACATATATGTATATTAGCATCCTTGAGTAACTGCTTATAACATGCGATAGCAGGTAGGTTGGTAAAGCTCTAAAGATTCTCTCGGAGAGAATTTATCACAAGTCTAGTGTCGATTTATTACTAGAAAACTTTGAACTAACCGAATCCACCACTTTCCCGCTTCGCTATATTAAATATGAAAGACGCCGTTACCTCGTAGCAGTACAGTATATAAAATGCTCGCGTACTTCAATGAGAATATTGCACAGCTACTCGTAGCGTGTTTTCATGGAAATAACCAAGGAGCCTTATGGTCTCAGAAAGAATCTTATAATCTTTGTGTACCGCTATAGGATTTTTCGAGCTTCTATACAGAAGTATCGTAAACATCGTCTGTTGCATCATAGATTATTACACTTTGACTGTAAAAAAAAAATATAATTTTTTTCATTATGCAGGTCGTCGTACCAAAAAGAGCAGCTTTACTCCTGGACAGACTGATGGTTGCCCTGCAAAAAGCCGTGGACAATCAAGGACTCGGAGGCGGAGAAGATGTCAGATCATTAACCAGATCAGCACCACGTCATCCGGTAGCCAGCTCCCAAATCGTACCAGCCGCTGACGAACAAACGGTACGAATTCCAATTACTAGAAAAGACATTTTCGTTAATTAAAGTTAAAGTCAATTAATTTAATAATGAGGTCCAATAATTCCTGATTCTGAACCTATAGTTTGCATGACAGGAGCTTCCGAGGCCCAGTGGCCACGTTGAAATGATGTCTTTCTGTCTCTCTCGCACTCACGCTCGTTATAGGAAAATGGGAAAATTTAATATCTACCAGGCCTTTGTACCCATATTTATTTTTTTTTATTTTTTTTATTTAATACAATTTATACTTGATATAACCATTGATCGATTACAGATGGACCTTCAACGCCGTGGACAAGCCAAAGGACGCGTCTATTGGCGCTGCTACTTCAATGCCGTAACATGTTTCAAGAGGAAGTGATGAAACCGACCAAGAGAATTCATTTCCCATATCGTTTCATCTCCTTGATTCAATGTAATACGACGAATCTTCCAATACTTATAGGCCTCTTAGGCAGGAGGTCGAGTCGCTATTCTTAAACCCAGGCAGAATTTGAGTAACAGCCAACATCAGAAAACACCAGTAGATACAGCAAGGACTCCTATATAGTAATACGATGCGTGGAATTTATCAAAGCATATGCCAAAGTTTTTTGATTTTTGTATATCTCTTCCATTTACACCCTTATTCAAAATTCTTAAAAATTATATTTTCTAGTTAAAGCACGTATCTCTCCTTTTCCACATAAACTTTGCGCTCTCCTGCCCCTATGATAACATATACCGGACCCGTAGACTTTAAGTAAAAGAGCAAGGTCAACCAGCGCCATATCGTACGTACACGTATTTTGTTTTTAAAAAAATCCGGAAAAGCCATAAACGCTTGAGTTCGAGTGACGATCGTCGAAACGATGAATTAAGCTGGATACGTTCAGCGACTTTGAGAGGTCGACCTTATTTATGCCTAGTACACTCTGACAGACTGGGTCCAACTCTGACCTCGACGTGTCGAGCTCTCGTTTTATGTTGAGACTGATAATGGGTTTACCGACAGACCGATAAGATACGACACGATGTGCAAAAGTGATTCGTGTTGATCTCAAACAATCCTGAATTTCTTGAAGGTCCAAAGGTTATTCTTTCATACCGTTCGGAAGTACCTAATTAAATATTTAAGTACCTAGTCCGAAAATGAGTCGCAGGTGTACCCATTATTGCCAAGGAAGCCAAACTTTTTTTAAGTAGAATGTTATCCGCTTACTGTACACCCAACCTGGTGAGTTAATTATATTAAATTGCTTATGTTCTTATATAAAATAAATGAGATAAAGGAAGTAGTTGGTATCGTTATACATACATATATGTATATATACCACGAGCAAAGTAATTTCTTGAAAATGTTTTGATTCCCTTAACCTAAAATCCATAATGCCGGCTTGTACATAATAGCGCAACCCCGATCGACTCTTGTTATTTCACGTTTATCAGGGAGTATACGTTAGGAAGGGAACAAATTTGTAAAACTGATACGCAAGCTCTTTAAACTCTATTTAATCGCGTTGCGATAGTCATGTTCGATAAGGTGTCTCAAATAGCTCAAAATATGCATGAAAGTCCTTAACAAACAAAAAGTTTATCCATTATGAGGCAAGGGGTTCGTACGTCCTATCGCGTGAAGTTGCAGTGTAATTTATATCGCAAAATTGCGATCGCGGGACTCTGATACATCCTTCCTTCTGTAGTTTTGCCTCGAGGATAATCTATTACGAATATCGGACTTCTGTTCCATGAATTATATAATTCCAATAAGGATCCCAATATATAAATATTACTGTCAATATTCGTCATTGTTTTCAGCGGTTGCGTTATTACCTGTTTCGAATTTGACAGTGATAACCATGTATTCAAATACCATTCAGACTTCCCGAACAGTGTAAATGTTTGTGGGTCATTCACAGGATGTCTGTACGACCCCATAAGACACCCCAAGGGTCGTCATTTCTTGTATTGGTGCTTTATGCTAATATCAAGAACACCTATCAGAACTTTGTGCTTACAATTGACGAAGGTATGTTACATTTATAGAGATACTTACTGATTTACATAAGATTTGTTTTTCATTGCATGGACTGTACGTTCATTTTGAATCATCATCTTCTGTATAATTGTTCTGTATCTGTATAACAATGTAAATTCGAAATGAATCTGTTGGATGTCTAAAAAAATTTGGAAAACATTGTGCAACTGATCTACAAAATAATGGCTCACTTGAATAAATTCTGTACACGTATGACTGCACTGCAGCTGCTGCAATAATCTGTTTATGTAAATTGCATACTACCTGGTATATTTGATGTTCAAGGATATTCTCTGTGATTCGATGCATTTTTCTCGTTATAAATATATTGCTAATATGACTACCTAGACATTAAATAAATTTCACAAGCTTGACAGATACGACTTATCCGACTGTTTATCCGTTTGGAATCAATTTCAGAGAATTTTACTCAGATTTTTATTCGTAAAATTAGTCTCCTTCGTCTTGACGTAGGTTTGAAATTGATGTTTGAAATTCTGCGACGGGTTCTGTGAGTGATTAAAGTCATCAATACACTGAGGAACATCATCAGGAGACAGATCTTTCTCTTTAACTATGTCTGATAGGGAATCCAAATATTGTAGTGACTTTTAGAGATAGCAAAAGCAAATTAAACAAACCTTCTCTTCTTATTTCAGACTCTGACAAGAAGTACAATATATATTCGGTCCTGTTACCTCTTTTTTATTTCTTATTACCGTTACCATAATATGAGCCTGTATATTTCAATTTGAAATGATGAGTTTACCGGAATTAATTTTTTACACGGCTTGACTTTTTCTTAAATTACTTTAAGCAGGGCCCATATGGAGCTTACAAAATGTATGACGCACTTGGTCTCCCTTCTCGTGAAAATACTGATACGTTCATCTGTCGGTTACGAGAAGGAAGAGAAATAGATGGACTTTTTTATATGTAAGTGACTGATATATACGATGCGACTTTTTTTTTTGCAAAGACGGAAAATGCGTATCCAGGTGGCTTACAATAAGGACTGGATAGAGTCCTGAAAAGAAATTCCAAACTTTTGACATATTATAACATCACGCTTTTAAAATGTACAGTCATAACTTCTTTTCTAATACAGTACAGTTAGCAACAGTGCATAAATTTTTATCTGTCGATTCAAATCTATTATTGATTTGATTAATAACAGATGCAAAAATATTTCCAAGTATTGAGTACAGCTCTCTTAATTGACTCTTCTGAAAACTATAACTGACTGAATACTAAGAATTTATTAAAATTAACTCTCAATCGATAAACGATTGACGCAATGTCACGGTGACGTGCGGGTGACAGAAATTTTGTCAGACTCATTAATGCCGCCTATTCGAACCCGTAGTTTAAGTTACGACGTACCCGCATGTCTTTGTTTTAATCGCTTGTATGAGAAATTTCCTTGAGCTCTTTCATGTTTCGCCTTACTGACCCAATTCTTCAATTGACGTGCCGCCATCATGCAAATCGAGTTATCACGTTGCAGTTTCATGAGACGGTATATCATACGTCGTTAACACTGAACGTCAAACGTCAAACGTCAAAAGTCGATTGTTGGATATGAATGAGCGACTGGAACGTTCTCGAAGTGTGCTCGATCAGCAAAAGAATGAAATCGAAGGAATCGATAGTCTCGAATATTACAAAGGCTGCTTTCTGATTGGCTGCTCTTATCGTTCTGGAAAATGAGCAGAACGATTGTCAAGACTGCACGGATTCCAAGTGCAGATATCTCATCAAGTGAAAAGTGCATAAAGGACGCTCGTTGTTTTTCCAGAGGATCCGACTGCGTTTGATTTACGTTCAGAGACAAAGAAATTCTCTTCTAGGCAAAAGGCTGATTTGTAATCAGGAAGGATGATGGATGGGCAGGTATTGGTAGATTTTGCATTGGGAGACATCAAGGAGTGCGAATGAAGGAATTTATGAAAATAAAAAAGAGAGGTACGTTTATCGAGAAAAAAAGTGACGTTCGGTACTAGCTCTTCCTCTCTTTTCCGTTCAATTTAAACAGAATGGCTATTCGGATTCGCACAGGCTTCATATATTTTTTAATTTTATCTACTATCAAATGCGTCTGACATTCGGACACTGTAGTCGAATACCGACTATATTATAGTGCTGGCTTAATTTAGTTGATTATTTATTAAGTTATAGATAAATTAATTATATAACGATTGCAATACTGTTGTAGGTTCGATTATTCCGTTAGGTCTAGTTGCCGGGGACATTACTGATTATGTCATTTCCGGAAACACGAAACAGGATTTAGGTAACATTTATAATAACTGAGCTGATCTCGTTTAACCATCAGTTCACTGTTTATACTTGTCAGGTCATTCCAGTTCGAAGTATCCGCAAGGTAGTTTTCCTTGAACATTGTTGTCCTGCGGAGATGTGATAACGTCTCCAGAAACTTGAGAACATCTTGAGGTAATTGATTCAGGATCCTGTTGCGGGTACCCGAATAAGCCGGGTTCAACTTCAAGGAATCTTCGTGCTGGAAAGAAGTATCCTCTTTAGGTATTTTAAAACAACCCTTAAAATGCAAACGAGAGTCGAAGGGACTTTTTGAGATATTTCAAAATTCAGACAAGTCAGATAGGCAGCTAGAAAGAACCACCTGATATCATGTGTCAAAAATGCTTAGTAATATAATGTTACAGAGTGTTAGCAATATAAAATCGGGACGCTTGAAGGAAGAGTATAGGAGTTCATTATAAATAAGACGCAATATTCGCGTAAAATTTTATCATAAAATTTCTCTTTACTTATATCACGTAATTGTTTAAGACCTTGGTTATGTTATCAGTTTACATCTTTAATGAATTTTGTGATAAAAAATATTTCAGGAACAGAGCCCGGACATCAAAATTTCAGCTACCACAAAATTCTGTAGACAGTGTGGTTATTTGTCAAATAATTTACATTTCTTGTCTTGTTAATTAAACGGGTGCCATTTTAATAAGAAGATACGAGAAATTTTACTACCTCACAGGAAAGACTACTTTATATATCCTTATATTAGTTATTTTGTCTTTTATGGAATTCCGATATTCAGCAAGTTGTCTCATAATTAAATTTTGAAGTGACGCAGTAAAATATGCGCGCGCAAGTAAGTCAAATTGTTATCAGGTGTCTTGTATCACGTCTGATAAATGCACAATATGGAATAATTTATACGTAAGACGAGACCAAAATTTTCAACATTTATTTCCGTTTCCAAAGTACGAAATGTCCCATTAAGTAGCTTTCACTTCCAATAAATGATTCGCATTATTCAAATAACGGCTCGAGTTACGGGAAAAAGTATTACAAGATAACCCTAAAAAATCCTACCTGATTCTGATCCTGATGGGTTTCACAGAGGACGCTATTCGTTATCAGGAAGCCAACAATGGTACTGCTAATAATCAGTCTCATCTTTAGGGATGTTGAAATATCACGATTGAGGAATCGACTGACTGTTTGCAGGTTATGCGAATTGGCTCCTCTTTATACTTGCCGCTTCTCGCCAATTTATTGGGAGTATAATCCTGCCACCTGGACAGGGATTGACTCCCACTTATCGGACCCCTATCGCGATGACGACAATGAGGCCAAAAGTTTATGACGACAGTAACGGCGGAAAAAATCAACAGGTACTTAAACAGACTACTTACTGTCTGTGAACATAGTGTGTGAAGATTAACGTACTTTTAAATCCAATATTTAATGTTACTAGCTTAGCAGATTCCATGGATTTATTATCTATTTCTGGCTGATTCTCTGCCCAGCTGATTATCTATCCAAATGTTCTCACAATTAACCTGGTTTATGTAAGCTTTGCCGATATCTCATATAAACATTCATCAATTTTTGACAGATCCATTAATACGCTAAGCGATGTGTCGGTCATTGGTGACCGACAGTAAACTTTCCGTTTATGCCGCGTCGGTCATCGATAACCGACGCTCGGTTTGGCAGAATAGGGTGGAGTGAACGAAGAGTGGGACGCAACATTGCCCGGGCAAATTCTTCACTAGTAAACCATGTAGAATTATTTCTTGCAGACCTATGAGTCCTGCCCATAAATGGAACGGAACAATGACACATTTGTTCTACCGCTTTTAAATGCTTCGGAACCTAAAGTGCGTTCGAGAACGAGTCAAGAGCGCTGAGAGAATCTATGTGTTTCGATGAAATGTATTCAATAAACAATCTGCTCGGTGCTTAACGTGTTAAATGGTACAATAATAGGTTATTAATGTAAGAACACATTAGTATTGAGTATAAATAAATATTTATTACGAACATTAATTTTCTATTAGCATATTGTGATATTGCCTTTCTTTTGAAACGAAATTCGCTTGAATTTATCAATCGTATAGCATCCATTTATAAGAGATAACTGACGGTAATTATTTAATCGGTCGGATTCCTTATTCATTGGTAAAACAGAATGAAGAACTATGTTGTAGATTTAAAGATGTATATACTCTATTACAAATAAATGTTACTTTCTATATTGTTGATGTCATATCAATAGTTTTCCTTCTGCCGGCATCAGATAAATTCTAAATTTTGCTTCCAGCGGTAAGTAACGGAGAACCTCTGTCCGCGGAGCTAAACGTTGGTGATCACGCTCAGCTCGGCTACGACGGGATACGCATTGTCGACAGAGGCGATGATCACAAAATCCTACTTCCAGACTTGCCGCTACGATCTAGCGCCATGATTTTGGTATCGCCTAAAACCGTAGCGTTGTGCATCTCCCTACTTATCTCTGTAAAATTCATAACAATGTTACTTCAGGGTGATACACGTGCTTTTCGGGATTGAACCATGTGAGATTTGTAATGTGTTATTACTGGTGTAAATAGTTTATTTGTACATGAATTATACGTAAACCAGAGAAAATGTCCCGAATAATCGTGAAGAATTTACCAAAAAGTGTATGTAATAATAAATTTAGGCATCGACAAATGACGTATATTTAATTCTACACTATCCTATTTGTATAACCTGATGTGTTTTTCCAGGTTACAGAAGCTAGGTTGAAAGAATTATTCAGTCAAAAAGGAATTGTTACGGATGTACAATTAAAGTATACAAAGGATGGCAAATTTCGGCGTTTTTGTTTTATTGGTTTTAAGGCAGAAGAACAGGCACAAGCTGCTTTAAATTACTTCGATAAGACATGCATCGATACTTCAAGAATATCAGTGGATATGTGTGCCAGCCTAGGTAATATTTAGTTCGTTTTTGCCTTTTATTTATGCAACTGCATACAAGTGGTATGCATGTTGAATTCAAAATTATAGACATACATTTGTCACAAAATTTGGTAGGTGATACTTCAAAACCAAAATCTTGGAGCAAGTATGCTTTGGATAGTACAACTCACAAGCTTTCTAATGAAAAGGAAGTACCGAGCAATGAAATACAGGAGCATGAAAAAAAGACAAAGTCCAAGAAAAAGAAAGAAGTTGGTAATGAAGTTATAGATGCTTTAGAAAAGGTATATGCATTATGTAAAATCTATAAATATAGTTAAAATTATTTATATACATTGACATGTTTTAGTTAAGTACATACTTATCTAGTTTACTTAAAGCACAAGGATGATCCACTCTTTACTGAATTCTTGGAAAGCCATGCCGCAGGAGCAGCTAAGCAGGTCTGGAGCAACGATACTATAGCAAACATTAAAGATTTTGGAAATACTGAAGAGGAAATTAATGAAAATGAAAAAGATAGTGAAAATGAGGATGATAGCTCTGTGAAACCAGATAACGAAAAGAAAAGTGATGTGAAGGTTGCAGTGCAAAAAGTTTCCGATCTTGAGGTTCATATTTCCCCAATTTTTACATTCAATCTTAGTTCTTATTACGTCAATGCAAATAAATACATTATATTTGTATTAATGTATAGTACATGAAATCGCTGAAAAAAGGATCTCAATCAGCTAAGAAAACTGATAGTACTACTGAAGGTACTAAAAATGCGCATGGTCCTCGCGAATTTTTCACAGTAAAAGTAACAGGACTTGGATATAATCAAAAAAAGAAAGATATTAAGCAATTTTTTCATTCATTAAAACCAAAATCTATACGAGTGCCACAAAAAATCAAAGGAATCGCATTCGTCGGTTTTGAAACCGAAAAACAAATGAAACAGGCATTAAATAAACATAAAAGTTTTCTAGGTGAATATAATATTTTTGAAACAGTATGGAACATTTATATAAACAGAAATACTAATTAACATATTTATTTATAACAGCCGGAAAACGTTTATTCGTAACGAAATACGAAAAAAAGGAAAATCCACAAAATGCAACAATGCCAGAAAAGAAAATCCATAATCATAAGTGGAAGCAACAAGAAGAAGCTCTCGAGAAAGAAGAAAGTATAGCTGAATCAGGAAAGATGTTTATTAGGAATTTAGCATATACAACAACTGAACAGGATATAAGAGCATTATTTGAGAAATACGGTAAATCTAATCAAACTTGTATCTAGTATACCTGGGTATTCGGGTATCCGGTATATACAAATACTCTATGCAACATATGGATTAGGTCCCCTGTCGGAGGTGAATTTACCAATAGACAAAGTTACAAGAAAGCCAAAAGGTTTTGGTACTGTAACTTTTCTAATGCCTGAACACGCAGTAAAGGCCTATTCAGAACTGGATGGCTCAATTCTAAATGGAAGAATGCTTCATATACTCCGGGGGAAAGGAAAAGACACAAAGGGGGAGTTAGCTGATCAAGGTACGTTTAGTGTCCATAAACCACGCTACTCAATAATGACACACAAACTTTGTATGTAATCTATTACAGAGCATTTGTCCTACAAGGAAAAAAAAGAATTGCAAAAGAAAGCAACAGCAGGATCATCACATAATTGGAATACACTTTTTCTGGGCCAAAATGCAGTAGCAGAGACTATAGCGACAACGTACAACACAACAAAAGAAAAGGTAACATTAAAATATTAGATCTAGTTACGAAATGATATAATAACTGCTTTCCCGGCATTCCAGGTACTCGAAGACACTGGTAATGGTACGAGCGTGGCAGTAAGACTTGCACTAGGAGAAACGCAGTTGGTTCAAGATGCAAGAAAATTTCTAGAAGAGAATGGTGTCCGTTTGGATGCATTCAATAGGGTAAAAAAAGTTGATTCACAAGATTCTTGGTAATTGCAATTATTGCAGGACAGTTACTTCAGATTTTTTAAATTTATCTTTCACGCAATAGCCAGCTGAGAAACGTTCTGGTACTGTGATACTTGCGAAGAACTTGCCCGCGCAGACTAATGTCCGTGAGGTTCGAGAAATTTTCACTCGACACGGTGAACTCGGACGTGTCGTAATGCCACCTTCGGGAATAACTGCGCTCATCGAGTTCCTCGAGCCGTCTGAAGCGCGAAAGGCTTTCTCAAAATTAGCTTATACGAAGTTCAAACATCTACCTCTGTACCTAGAGTGGGCACCGGATAATACTTTCACAACAGCTCCAAGCGAATCTAATAAAAATATGACAAACGCAGACAACTCTAAGGTATCATCACAGGTCAAACCAGTTCACACGGTAAAAGAAAACTCTGACGAGGGTTTTAAAAAGGAAGAACAATCTGAAGTAAACACAAATATTCGGCAACAAGTGGAGGACGAAGAGGAGGATGAGGAGGAGGACCAGCCAGAACCGGATACAACGTTATTCGTAAAAAATCTAAATTTCTGCACAACCGAATCATCATTGAAGGAAGTAAGTGATTTAAACGATGGTCTTTATTCTGTTTTAATATTCTGCTTTATTAATGATTTATAGTATTTCTCAAAATGCGGCAAACTGCACTACGTCACAGTTGCAACAAAGAAAGATCCTAATAATCCAGGTCAAAAGTTATCAATGGGATATGGTTTTGTGAGATATAAAACAAAAATGGGCGCAGATCGTGCTCTGAAAGAACTTCAAATGACATCATTGGATGGAAAGACATTGGAACTCAAACGGTCCGAAAGAACACTTCAAACCGACGTAGTGACTGCGAAGAAATCAGCCAAAATAGCAGCGCAAACAGGAACGAAAATTCTTGTGCGAAACATACCATTCCAAGCGCATGCCAATGAGGTGGAAGAGCTGTTCAAGTATGCATCGCTTATACGTTTATAACATAAGCTTTCGCATGACCAATGCCAAGTGCATCCGCCATTTTCTGGTTTAAACGTGTTTTCAGAGCGTTTGGTGAGATCAAGGCGGTGCGGTTACCGAAAAAATTGGTGGGAGTAGAAAAACACAAAGGATTCGCTTTCGTGGAGTATTACACAAAGAGCGATGCCAAGGTAAGAGTAAAAAGAAGATGAATTTCTCAATAACGGTACAGATCGAGTCATCATTTTGTGATAATAAAATTCATATAATTTTTGTTTATTATAGAGAGCATTCAAAGCACTTTGCCAAAGTACCCACTTGTACGGACGTCGATTGGTATTGGAATGGGCCCAAGCTGAGGAGGGTGTGGATGAGATTAGAAAGCGAACCGCAAAACATTTTCACCAAGGTATTTAAACATTCCTGTGTATATAAAGAGGGTCAATAATTGCTTGAGATAAATAAGAAGTTGTTAGCAGTAGTTTACGCATCTCTTAACGTTACTCTGGCATGGTATTACAGAGGGACCGGACAACAGAAGTAAAAAGGCTATGTTGGATCCAGAATCTGTGGGCCTGGATGCAGAATAAAGACAACACATTACTAAGCTATTATCGTTCCAAGTTTAGAAACTCGCCTACCTACGTGATTAGGATATCCCCATAAAAAAATATATATACACACAAAGAAGTATCGCGAGATTCGCAAATTTAGTTATGCTGAAATACACAAAGAGGAAACCTGATTAGAATGAAGATGATTCCACGACGATTCTCCCTACCACTGCTACTAAAAGTACCCATTTGACCAGAGAGGACATTGTGATATTTATTCTCTGAAATTTACATACAAATAAAAGTTCCTCTTTCGGCGAAATCGAACGGCGTTACTCTCTAACGTCCTACACCTAGCGTACCAATGACATTCGTTCGAATTCGTCACGTTGCGTCGGGACGCCGTTCCGACTTCCTGTCACGTTCATGACTTTTCCCACCTGTTACTTTTCTCGAAAATCCAAATGATAATACAATGTATCTAGGGCTCACAGCAATTTCATGTACAATTGAAAATTGTTCAGATAAATTTAAACTAGATTTAAGAAAGTGTCAAAAGTCACGCACCCTTTTATTCTCAATGACACGTTTAAGGTCACAAGGCTAAGGAACCTTAAGCATTCTCAACTGCATTCCACCTTTAGGACAGGTGATTCCAGATATATATATGTATTTACATGCTCAAACGATACTTAGAACAGATTCAAGAGAGTGTCGGTGCCTGTGGTGGCGTCCATGGAGCAAATGTCTTCCTTTCACCTTCCCCGGCAGAAACTACCGCGGGACCATCACACTCAAGGAAATGGAACTATCTGACTGGTTCGTTCTCCTTGGTGGGATTGTGGAGGTGGCCATACCGACCCATGAAAGTAACAGTGCCATGGAATAGCTTGCACACGGACCAGGTTGCAGTTGCCACGGATTCCTCGACGTAGTGACCGACGTGTTCCAGAGCCCGCGATCCGGTCAACATATAAGATCCGTTCCCCATCACTGGCTAGAATAACAGACAATAGAACTTTGATATCGTGTGTGGATGCTTGAATGCATGAAAAGGAATAAGGGTGACTGAGTGATCGTGGTCGTGATTGCTATGTGTTCTTCTTGAATTAATTAGAAATTTTCGTAACACTCCTGATTACGCAGTGTCTCGAGCCTCGTAACCAAAGCAACTCTTCAGAATGGATTGGGTAAGTTCCTGAGCGTTACAATGCTATAATTGATCATCACCCACGGGGATTACTTAGTTGCTTGGTAAATGTATCAAAGCGTGAAGAAAGAGCTTAAAGATTTAAGAGAGAAAGTAAAGGTTTTCTTTGGCGATCAGCATATTAGCTCGAGGTCGACGAGAGATCAGAGATCGACGATCGGATAGAAAACAAGTATTAGGTTGATACTCTTGCAAAATAATCAAACCTCATTATAATTCCCGTTCGGTTCCTGCGATCCGACAGAATCCAAATAAAGGACCCTGATACCTCAAACCTGAAATATCTTTATACCTGAAGACCATAGCATCGAGTCGCACCGTCATCAGGATGGATCGCGAAGGAGGAAACAAAAGTAAAAGGACGAGTTTGCTATTTTAAGAAAGCCATCGAAAGATAGGATGAAAAATAAAAATCCCTAACAAGAGGACAGTCGGTGGTTAACCTTTAGTCAGGTTGTCCTCGAGGGTGCGCCATCCTGATTCCACCATTGAATCGACCTTTCCACGGATAACAGGATGACCCTGCACCTGGTCGATTCCCTCTAGGACAAATAAGAAAATCATCCCGAGGTCAAAGTATACTTTCTCAGGAAACGATTCATCGATCACGATCTACGACTGTTCCACCGGCTGATCATGAGGGAACATCTAGTTCTAGCATTACTGATCTTTTTATATCGAAATCATTCATTCCTATACGTCCTTGTCCTTGTTCGGGTCACGGGACAATAAACAGAGCACGTGTAGTACCATGCTGCAATAGTGATCATCTTCAAGAAGATCGTTCACCAGGACTAATTCTACGAGTAATTCGTATTGACACAGAAGTAGACGCCGATCGACAGCGTCCGGCCCCGCCGGCAAATTCCTTAGAAAGTAAAAGTGACCAACGCCCGGCACACTTGTCCCCGCACAAAACCGAACGATTTATCTTTTTATCTGAGATACCAGTTTTCACATGGCTCGATGAGCAAACCGGGATTTTACGAGGATACCCGAAAGACTGCATCACGTGTAATATATTAAATGCTAATTAATAAATTCTCGATCATGCTCGACTACCCAGTATAGTGGAGTCATATAGAAAGGCTGTCAGTCGGTAGCTATACAGTGCCAGAATAGATTGGATTGAGAGTAAAGTAAAATAAAGCGATCTGACGTGCCATAGCCTAGAGACCGGTTCCAATACTCTGAACGTCCTTGGAGTCGTCAAATTTTATAAGTCATTCATTTTCAGTTTCGTGACGCATTTACCGGAATTCCCACTACTGGCGAAAGGTTGAAAGAAGCTCATCGACACCGAAAAATAAAATGCTGCGTATCCTAGAGTCCAGATTTAGCCTACACAATCTCTTTAGACAGATTTCGTATATCCGCAGCGTGCCAATACGTCAGTCTTATACACTGAAATATGAGATGCTAAAACAGCTTTATGATTCTGTGTCTCTAGATAATTGTAAAAGGTCTTATGAGTGAGAAGGCCACAATGGATTCCAGTGTTCTAACGGGATCTCGAGATGGCTTTAGTCACTGAAAGTCATCCTGTCTTCATAAAAATCGCATGAAAATGTCACTTTCGATAGACAACCGTTAAATACGTTTTTATAAGGACTTACGACAGAGCCTGATTTAATCATTAAAGAAACAAAACACAGACTAAAAACTCAATCTGCAGACTATCTATTGAGATTAGCACGAATCCGGGTCACGGGTTGGTACTTCTAAATTGAAAATCGATTCCTAACCAGGCAGATCCGCGATTCGACATTTGCATGCGAGCCAATGTAAATCGACTTTCGCTGTCTTGTACTCGAACCAGACAACATCCACTGAGTCGCTTAATGGGCTCTGGGGATTGGCGGCCAATGTCGATGCATAAAATAAATTGTCACTCGATGACCCGCAAATGCTAATAGAACTAACAGTTTCTTGATAGCCAAGGTAATTAGCGAATGTAAACGCGAGTGTCGTGCCAGTCGCTATATATTAATACGTTATATATATACATGCGTATAGTATACTTAACCGAACCAGTGTCCAAGTGTAACTCGTATGAAAGCTCGAAACGTAACATAATACTAGAGAACAGTTAGCTATGAAAAAAAGAACCTTCATTAGTTCTACCAAGAGGAGTTTACTACTTAATACTAAACTATCGTATAGACGAAAAACCAATATTGCTGCCAAAAAGTTAAAAGAGTCGAGAAAGTGACTTCACAGCGGACCGAGAGACGTTCCTGTGCTTTCTCCTTATACACATTGCGTAACGAGGAGTGGCTGTGTGTCATGGTTCTGGCTAGTACATAAGTATACGGTACACACGTGCGATCACCCTAATGTAAGTATCCATCGCGAGACAAGCGTGTCACGCTTTAAGGCCTATTACAAGTGTATCTATGCGCCGCTGCCGTCGCGACGCTGTTACGTAGTTGTGATCTTATTGATCGTGAAAGGCGCGCACCGAACGCGAAATGCCCTCCTTTAATTCCATCACTGCTGTAGCATTCCTCAGCCTCGTCCTTCTCCGCCTCCCGCTTACGAAACCTTCTCTTTTTTTTATATATATAAATATTCGCTTCCTACGGACGTCCGAGTGCACGGCAAAAAACACCCTGGCGAACACCGTGACGCTTGGGCATCGTGGGAAGCGGTTCCTTGACCTGCCAACGGCGCCACGTCGCTTTTCTCTTAGAATTATTACACAACTTGCAATTGTGTGTACAGGTGTAAGAGCGCAATAGCCTGCACGCCTCCACAGGGCACTTCCTTAACGGGATTCTTAGGCTTTAACGTTATGCACTTCGTTTATACGTTTCATACGTGAACGTAATCACTCGCTATGCGTAACGTGACTTTAAAAGCGACGCGCACGCGCCACATGGACTTCCGGTTGAAGCGTGTCCGCGGGTAAATTATTCTTGACAGAAATTTTTAATCGAACGAATGACTTATTTTTATTTACAGAAGGTGCGAGCCGCCAGGCAATTTCTATTGCTCAGTATTATACTACTGGCAATTCGATATGGTAAGTACATCAGACTATTCGCACCAGCTAGCTTAAACCGAGTAAAATTAAGTAGCGTTTTTTTAATGGGTGATTTCACGAGGATAATCGATCCGCCGACTACAGGTACTCGTCGATCGCTCTCCAGTTTTAATGGAGAGAGAGAGAGAGAGAGAGAGAGAGAGAGAGAGAGAGAGAGAGAGAGAGAAATATGGACAGTCAGACAGAGAGCGAGATTCGTCGAAGAGAATCAGCTCTCTCGATTCAAGAAAATTACAGGTCTCAGAAATGGTCCAGTAATGTGCTAAGCATTGCTCTTTTTTTTTCTCTCTCTCTCTCCTTACGAGCATTCGAGAAGAGCTTTCTTTTATTGGTGCAATGACTCGTGAAAGCCTGTCAAATTTTATTCCAATAGTTGGAAGTCGCAATACGTGTGATGAAAACTATCACTAAAAGTTAGTTTGGCGCCACGAACTTTTAATGGACGCACTTATGGGTGGTCAAACTAGCGTGAAATCGCAACACGCGAAAATGTTTATCGCCGCGGTGAAAGCCATGTCCGATTCTGTATAAAAGACGTAGGCCCGTGTCGTATAAATTGTAAAAAATGGCTCGCCAATTGAATTAAATACCAGGAGGCCACTCACAATGAGCGAAGGCCGATGGTCCTCATTATACATTACATTATACGTAGATGAGCAAATCTTGAGCATATGTGCGGATACGCATGTAGCATGTACCTAGTCATCGCAGACACCACTTGTCTGTCATGAACGCGAAAGTTTTCATACAACTCGATGGTACATTGCAATTTCTCCCCGGCCTCTAGTTTCACCCGGCCATTTACGTGAATATATCGTGGCACCTGCCTCCTGGCTACGACGTCTTCTTGACTCCTGGTGTACGTTTCAGGCGCTGCTGAACAACGAATCGTATGCTACTACACCAACTGGTCAGTCTATCGACCTGGGACAGCCAAATTCTCGCCGCAAAACATCAATCCTTATCTCTGCACGCACTTGATATACGCCTTTGGAGGTTTTACCAAGGATAATGCTCTGAAACCATTTGACAAATATCAGGATATTGAAAAGGGTGGTTACGCTAAGTTTAACGGATTGAAAACTTACAATAAAAACTTGAAGACGATGCTCGCGATTGGTGGATGGAACGAAGGATCAAGTAGATTCTCACCAATGGTTGCGGATCCTAAAAGGAGAAAGGAATTCGTAAAGAACGCCGTGAAATTCTTAAGACAAAATCACTTCGACGGCCTGGATCTTGACTGGGAATATCCAGCATTTCGTGATGGCGGCAAAGCACGGGATAAAGAAAATTACGCAAACTTGGTTCAAGTACGACAGCCGTTATCGATGGAAGTCAATCATATTTCAAGAATTTTATAACAAATTTTCAAGTAAAAATTTTAATACTTTGTAGGAATTACGGGAGGAATTCGAAAGGGAATCTTCAAAGACTGGCAGAGCTAGATTGTTACTTTCAATGGCAATACCTGCCGGTATCGAGTACATTGATAAGGGATACGATATTCCACGATTGAACGAATATTTGGATTTTTTCAATCTTTTATCGTACGACTATCACTCGGCCTTTGAACCTGCCGTCAATCATCATTCTCCTCTGTATCCTCTGGAAGAGGAGAGCGAATACAATTACGATGGCGAATTGACAATTGTAAGAGCTTACTATGGCTACATCCTGTCACCAAATGAATAACTAAATCTGTACTTTTAATAGGATTTTACCATCAACCATCTATTTAAAAAAGGAGCAGCCTCTGATAAGATTGTTCTTGGGATTCCTACCTACGGCAGATCATATACCCTTTATAATGAAGATGCTACAGAAATCGGATCTCCTGCCGATGGTCCAGGAGAAGAAGGAGACGCAACACGAGAAAAAGGATATCTTGCCTATTACGAGGTTGTTATTAACTAAAGATTATTCATAACAAGAAGCGGAGGTCTTTGATCTTATATTTTCATTCTAAGCAAAATATTTCTTTCATAGATTTGCGAGAGTGTTATGAATTCAGACGATTGGGAAGTCGTGCAACCAAATCCAAACGCAATGGGTCCTTATGCTTACAAAGGTAACCAGTGGGTCGGATATGACGATGAAGAAATAGTTAGACAGAAAGCTCGTTATGTGAATGAGAAGAACCTGGGTGGTATAATGTTCTGGTCCATTGACAATGACGATTTCCGTGGCAAGTGTCATGACAGACCTTATCCTCTAATCGAGGCTGCCAAGGAGACTCTGTTATCCGGAAATAAGTAAGTCATCAAGAATGTTGTCGCTAAAAGAAACAAATTAATATAGACAAACAATTTGATAAAAATATGATAATAAGTTTTAGGAAAACACAAAATGCACAGATAGGAAAAACAACAGATGGAACGAAGAAGATACGTACTCAGGGTGTTCAAGGTAATCTGGTTGGAAGGAAGGTACCTTCTGGAGAAGGTAAACGTACCACGACCGTGGCGCCGGTTTCGAAGAATCGTCCTCTAGTTACGAAGCCAAGAAATAAACCAGGAACTCGACTGGACTCTAATGAGAAGGAAATACAATCCGTGGATCCTCTGGTTGCGAACGAAGATGAGGATGACTCCCGTTTCGCCAGCAATGCTGTAAGGAGTCTTGAGTCAGCCGAAAATAAACCGAAAAAGAACAAACCCCGAGGTAAGAATCGTCGTCGACCCGAAAGTCAGGGTGGCCGTAACAGGTTGCGGGATCAAAATGCCCAAAAAGCATCACAGGAATCTGACAGCGAAGTATCTTCAAGTAACAAGCTGACGACTCCAGAACCACCAACGACACCAGATCCGGGCAGCGGTGAGTCATTGACTAAAAAAGAATAATAACACTATTCATTTCTACATAATGCATAAAGAGCGAAAGTTTTATTGTGTCACTGGAAATTTTACAGACTTTAAATGCGAGGACGAAGGATTCTTCTCGCACCCACGGGATTGCAAGAAATATTTTTGGTGTCTGGACAGCGGCCCAGGTGGCCTTGGTATTGTGGCACATCAATTCACGTGTCCATCAGGTCTTGTCTTCAACAAGGCAGCTGACTCCTGCGATTATCCACGTAATGTCATATGTCCTAAATCAAGAACATCCTCGGGTTCGGTTGTTTCTACGACCAGGGCGCCGATCACAGCTGCCACCAGTCGCACTACATATCTTCATAGTACAACGCAACGTACAACAACATCTACGTCTGATAGCGTAGAGGACGAGGAATATTATGACGACGATGAAGATGAAGAGGAAGAAGAGGAACCTGCGTCAACAACAACTGCTAGAGCTTTGTTATACAAAACGATCAATAGAGCCAGACCTACTACAACATCCAGGACAACCCCAATTACTACAACTATAAATCCCATAAGCACTACCAAGTCGTATCAACCCTTGCCAGAGCGTAGCCGTACGACACAGAGCCAGAACACAAGCGAGGATGATCCTGAAGAAGACCCTAGAGTGATCAAGGAATTGATAGACCTCATCAAAAAAGCTGGTACCTATACCTTACATGTCTTCTTGTCGTACGTGCAGGTTTAGACAATTGAAAAACAATAATTTTTGCTGTTCCAGGTGGTATTGAGCAACTGGAGAAACAATTGCTTATACAGGAAAAGAATATAAATTCAGGAACAACATCATCCAGTGGAAACGTTACTCCAGCAACTATTAGTAGAAGCTTATACGAGCGTGTACTCAATAGACAGTCTACCAAAGGAGCTAATAAACTCTTTGGATCACCAAGTACTATCTCTACGTTCAGTACTACCACACCAAGTATTGCCGTCAAAGATGATGAGGAAACGGAATCAAGAAGCAGAACCAACTTCCGGAATGGTCCAGGTAGATCTCAGTTCGAGGGACTCGATGATCTTCCTGAAGTGAAGAGTCTCAGAAGAGCGAAGAAACCGCAATACGTCACTATCGAAAGACAGAGGTGAGGCACAAAACACCAATATAAATTCGAATAAAATTTGTAATTAATATATTCGTTAGACCGTCCACCAGATCACCTGATTCCGATGAAGAGACTGAAATAGACGTCCAGGAAGAGGAAGACAGTGCAAATGTTGCATCCTCTGAGGAGAAAGCCATAAGCAATCCTCCGGAAGTCACTGACGTACCTCAAAGAGTAACTCCTAGTTATGTGAACATCCGTCGCACTCGACCGACTACATCAAAGTATGAAAATCTTTTGTTTATTAACGCAAATCTGGCGTAAGAATAAATAAATATTTTTCTCTACTTACATAGAAGCGAGAATGATGTAGAAGAAAAGGTAGAAGATGCATCCGACTTGAGACCAAACTTTAGAAGACGAAGACCCGTTGCTTCCAAGTAAGTTCTCTTAATATTTGCTCCTGTAATACTATGATATATAATATTGCATGTTATTCAGGACAACCGAGGATGCTGCTGACGATCCGATCAGGACCAATTTCCGTAATCGACGACCCACGACATCGAGGTATGTACGATAACTCCGATTCATTCTTCGTTAATTGATAAGACCAAACTGCTACCGAATTTGAATATATTTCAGAAACGAACCCGAAAACGATGACGACGACGATGATGACGTGGAAGAAGATGGCGAGGGTAAAAGAAAGAAGGTTGAAGAAGATCAAAATATTCGAACTGTTGCCGCACAAGAAGAAACACCTACAACAAAGTCTAGGTACATATCACAAAATCCAATTTAATAACATGTTACATTGCTGACAACTAATTTCACTGTTGACAGGTACATCAGCATCAATCGTTTCAGAAGCACAACTGTGTCACCAAGTGAAAGTTCATCTTCAGATAATGGTCCAATTTCTGAATCCACTGTGGAAATAGTAGACAAGTTTACGGCCACGTCACCAATTACTGAGGCAGTAACCGAAGAAGGAGCATCAGAGAGTTCAGTGTTCTCAACGACAACGACACCGACGTCGACGACGACAACGACGACAACGACAACGACGACGACGACGACGACGACAGAGACACCTACGACTACTCCAATTAGTATTTCTTCAAGTGAGGCCTCTACAGTGATTATTCAGGAACCTCCGAGAGAGAGTACTCTTCTTCCTGAGTTGTCCAGTACCGCCGGAAATTCGGAGAACGAGTCTTCAGTGAAATTGGTCGAGGAATCCGCAACGGAAATCCTCCTGACGACAGTGGAAGTACCCAATACTTCTAACCAGGATGCTAGCTCCTACGAACCATTAACAAAAGAAACCACTGCCGCAGTATCTCAACCGAGACCCTTTGGATTCCCACGACGAACACGTCCGACCGTTTCCATATCCGTGACACCAGCCACGGAAGCCACGACCCCCATAGTCCCCGTAACCCAAGTGCGACAGAAGGTGAGTACCCCGACGCAAAACTTTGCACGATCGTCGAACGCATACGAGGTCAGAGGTCGAGGAAGGCCGAGATTCACGATTCTTAATAAAACCGGAAATCGCGATTCGGGCGACCTTGACGAAAGAAATGAGCGTGTGACAACACAACACGTTAATCACGACGAGGATGAAGGTCATAATAATGATGAGGATGAGGATGAGGATAACAATGAGAAAGTAAGTAGGTCTAGAGTAGGTGTCAGGTACAGAGGATCTAGTAGATATACGCCACCGATGATTACGCCTTCCGTCGAAGATATTTCATTGAATTCGATTATCAAGTCAAGATCAGGCAGACCGTCCACAGCGACTACTACCCATACGACGACACCTGTTTTCACCACTGAGAGTTCCAGGAGACGCTTCCGCCGACCGCTGCGGCCGACTTCCGAAACGGTCAGTGAGACGCCAGTTGACAGTGTTATCGAAGACAGTCCCATAATCAGAATCATACAAAAAAGTCTCAGGAACGAATTTTCTCAGAGACGCAAACAGAATAAAGATGAAGACAAGCTTAATAATGCAGATGACAACGACAATATTACCAACATAAAAGTTATAGCAAGAGCGAAACCGTTCAATCGAGATTTATACGGTAGAACGCGTCCTACCGCATCGTCTACGAGTCAAATCGAAGAATCGGACATTAATATTCTAGAAAAAATAACAAACGATACACTGACAACTATTCCTGAAGAAAGTCAACGTTCATCAACACCCTTTTATCTTTACTCAAACACGGATACCACTACAACGACTCCATATGATTTGGATAACACGATCACTGACACTACTGCTACCCTTATTGACAATATCGATACTACCACCACTTTCACGGGAAATAGTATAGAATATACAACTAGTAATACAGAAGCTCAAAATGTTCCTAGTACTACCTTAGCCTATTCAAGCTTAGCGACTACAGAATCATTACCAGACGTCACTACCGTAGTTAATATTAATTACGCTTCTACGGGATTATCAACAAGCACCGTTCCTACTATAGAAACAGTACAGGAACAAACTACATACTCGAGTCTCGTAACTGACAATAAGACAAGCACAGAATCAATTACTAGGGAAAATAATGATGAGAACATTAGAACGCGCGGACCATTCAGACCGTTGAGAAAAAAAATACTTCGTAGTAGACGGCCTGTTACTGCAGAGTCTTCATCAAGTTTGCCAACCACTGAAGAAAACAATAATTCCGGACGACCACTAGGTAATCGAAGGCGTAAACTTATCAGACGTCTTCGTCCCGTTTCCCAGTTATCCACTTCTACGGAAGCCAATATCAATGATGATGCTAGACAATATAGATCAAGATTATTCACGAGATCTACTACTGCGAAAAGTACTACCAGAGAAGTCTCGCCGGAAGTGCAGAACAGTGAAGGAACAAGTAAAATTGAAGATAACGTAGAATCAGTGACTGAACCAACTTTGATCGAGGAGAATATCATTCACACTAATGTACCGGAATTTACCTTAATAATTAGTACTGAATCTGCTATGGAACAAATTTCCACCACGGTTTCAAATTATGCTGAAGGCGATACCACAACTGTCACTTCTCCAAATATACCTGATGAGGTTGTGACAAGCTCAGCTACTGATAACATCATTGATGATAATTTTGCTACAACAGAAAATATATTAGTGACTACAACATTGCCCGACACTTCACAAACTATTGAAAACGGCACAGAAAGTAAAGAATCATATGAAACATCGAATACAACGCCATCAGAATTGAGCACAACTTTCAACACTGCTACAACATTAACAACAAATGGAAATTTGGAAAAAACTGACAGTACAGAAAGAACAGAGAAGATAGACACATTTTCAAGACGCTTTAGAACGACCACTCCGTTGACTTCCATAACTACCAGAAGCAGTGGGTCCCTTTTGGTTCGTAAAAAATTCATTCGTAGAAGACCATTACGCCCCATTGAAAATAATTCGGAAAAACCAAGTACCCGTGCCCTGCCAACATTTACAAGAGATCAAACACTCGCAAAACAATCAACTGGTCTGGATCTTTTATCAAATCGAAGAAAAAATTTATTTATACGACGTCAGCCAGTTTCTTCCACAGCGACAACACGTTTACGACTTGACAACGACGATCATGACGATATCGATTCATACGATGATGAAGATGAGAATGAAAATATTGAAGATCCAAACGATACTGAGAAACAAGTCTCGTTCGATGTTACAACTGAAGACGTCCCAGAGCAGATTGACTATGACACTGCATTGTTAAAAGACGGTATAGCTACTGGTAGTAACATTGATGACTTTTGGAGACACTACACTACAGTAGCAACAACGTCCAAACCAACAAGTACTCAGTTGCCACTAGAACTGAGACCGACGTTCAAAGTTCCAGAGTCTCTTCGAGAGAGATTTTTAAATCGTGGTGAAGAAAACTTTAAAACTGTGCTCGAGGATCCGTTGGAAGAAGATCTGATTGAGGAGGAGCCAGAAAACAAGGACGACGAATTAAAGAAGGAATCGGAAAAACCGACAACAATAACAAAATATCGTAGGCCGGAAGCACGACCGAAATTCCGTGTACCACAATCTTTAAGGAACAACAAGAGTAGCACGGCACAGACTGCGAACACTGAAGCCACTGGAAAGTTTAATATTCCCTACGTACCAGATAGATCATCCACAGCAAAGAACGTGATTACAACGAACTCGCCAGGTTATAAAAGACCTATTAATTTCAACAGAAATAAACCCCAAGCTGATCGTGAAGAAACCACGAGCGAAGAGGAAGACAACAGCGAGAACCACGGGGAAACTGAAGAGGAGCGCAGTAGATTACCTGCATTCTTGCTAGCAACGAATACCACTAGAAAAGAAAATAAACCTATATATCCACTAGTTTCTAACAAGTCACGTTCTTATCCTAAGAGACCTGATGCCTCAACGGAGTCGACGGTTACAGAGACTCTAATACCAGCAAAGAAGTTCGACTACGCTGCAGATGCGGTTCATAGAAAACAATCTTACAAAACCAGCACAGTGAGGAACCCCGCAGACGACACTCTGGACAGTGAGAACTTCCTCGACGAGAACGAGTATTCGGCAACCACGTTGAAACCAGTGACGCGTTTGGTAACGAGCGTCACAGAATCCGGAACGACGGAGAGACAGAAGATCCTGATAAAAACAAAATATTCATCATTAACATCGACAACAAAGATACCGGTTCAGAACGTGCACGGGAAGTATGAATACTCAACGACGCCTAGTCGTCCCGAGGTTTCTAGCATTGAGAAATCATGGGACGCGTCTTTAACTGAATCTGGGGTATCGTTAAACGAAATTCGCACGAGCGACTCGACCGAGAGGAGTCCGGAGAGGTCCACCTTGCCAATAGAGAGCGAATTCGCTGAACGTCGGGGAAGGTTACTAGGTATCCCGGGTTCTTTTACGACAGAAAAAAGTGGCGAATCGTCGACGATAGAGATAGAGTCGTTCTTTAGCAACGTCATAAGCGGCTCGAAGGCGAGACCGTAATAATAGACTCGATTATATATTCTTGCCACACGCATCCTGAAGGAAGCACCGCTCGATCACGCATCCAATATACCTAAGCTTCATATACACATCACGTAGAACATGCATCTGTTATATCATCGTCACGCGCGTCACACGCGCATCACTTAGGAACGCGCGAATACATACGGAAACGGAATGAACGGGACGTCGCAGCGAACGAATTGTCTACTCCTCGAGGATGGGAACAAAAAATTAACAAATTCTGCGGTGATCAATTCACAAGGAAAACGAAAACTCACTTGGGATTCTCCTTCTGATTTTCAGGTGGCATTGGATTCCTTCAGGCTACCTACCCTCAAGGAACTTGTTGGTTATCGTACAGTTGATACACGTGAATACCCAACATCAGCCCCCACCACGTCAATCTACCCCTATGACATAGATAAGGAGCCCGATACCACTACGACCCCAGATTTTGAGAAACCTGAACGTCCACAGGATCCAAAGGATCCACGGGAGAATCTCATTGAGAAAGGATCAAGCCATGACAGTTCAAGTCCAGATCCTGAAACAACAACAAGCTTTGCCACGGAGCTCTATCCCTTGGCGTCAACGACAATGACGACGTTAAAAAGGATGACGACGACGACAACGTTAGCGCCGCCAATTCTGAAGAACGATAATTCGAGAATAAGATACGTGAAACGCGTGGATGTTCCCGTTCGCATCCTGGATGAATCTGGCAATGATCCTCTCACGGAACTCATCCTAAGAGTCCCTGAGGACAAACTTGACAGCGCCGTTCTCAAATCCATACTCCGAGTAGAGCTGATCAATCCTATTGACAAGAATGGGACAGAGAATAAATTCAGAACAAGGAGCCCACTGCCAAGAATATCATCAAGAACAAGATCAACAGCTACAACCGTGAAGCCCGTCACAGTCAGAGGAAACAGAGTGATTCTACCTCGCACGGAATTCGCAAAACGTGGATTTTATGTGACTAAAAGTTTACAGCGAAATACAGTCTCTCCATCAGGAACTGCTAAACCGTCGTCAACGACAGAATTTTTTACAACCGAAATTCCTACCACAACCGAACCTACTTTAGAGACATTAACGCCAGCGAGTAGCGTCAGTAAATTGTCCACAGATTCCCTGAAAAACTCAGAAACAAAGACTTTCGTGACCAAGAGAATGAGTACAATGATTCCAGAGACAACAGTTGAGAATAATTATTCAACAGTGCCAAAAACAGGGTTCACCAAAATATCAGAGTCTTCGGACGGATTTACCACTCCTTTGGTCCCCATTGATTTTCCATCATCTGTGCCAACATCAACGGATGGAATCATGGAGACGACGTATAGTCGTGATGCAACGACAGTTATGCATACCAGGGTAACCGAGACCGGTACCGCGGGCACTAATTCCACGCAAACCGTTTCTATGATCTATGACTCCGAGATGAAAACCATAGAAAATGAATTCGTCATGGAAGAACATAGAATGACCGTTCCTATATCACAAACCGAGACAAGCTTCCTTCAGACAACCGATACCAAAACGGAAAGAAATCCGACGACATTTTATCAGACTGATTCATATACTATACCTACGGAGGGCGATACGACCTTCTTTGAAAAGATTGATACCAAAACAGAAAAAAATCCAACAACAGTCAGTTTACAGACTGACCCGTACACTATACTTAATGAGGACGATAGATCATTCCTTGGGAATGTCGATGATAACGCAGAAGAAATTACAACTACAATAATTAAAACCGATCCATATACAACTACAGCTCAATCAGATAGAGATTTAGTAACCGAGAGAACATCTTTATTTAATAATATAGTTACGACCGATAAAGTAACGACGAGAAGCAGTGCCGAAATCGCAGCGAAAGAGGTAAAAGAAGAAGAAGAACAGGAAACATCACCTGTAAAGTATAATATATTCACGACAGAATTATTACCTACTGTTATTAGTACAACGACAGAATCTGCGCAGTTTGATATTGACACAACATTAGAATTCGTGCAATCTAGTATCGATACATCAAAAGAGCCTACCGAATCTAGTATTGGTACAACAGAATTTATACAGTCTGATACTGAGACAAGATCTGTAGAGTCTAATGATGTTACGACAAAAGAATTCGTGCAGTCTAGAAATGAAATAAAAGAAACATCTGTACCAACTAGTATTTATACAACAACAGAATCTGTACAGTCGAATGTTGAAACAACAACAGGACCTGTACAATCTAATGTTGAAATAGCAGAAGTATTTTCTCCGTCTAGTATTAGCGCAACAACGGAATCTATATATTCTAACATTGATACAACAGAATCTATACGTCATAATATTGAAACAACAACAGAATCTGTACTACCTAGTATTGATACAACGATAAAATATGCGCAGGCAACTACTGAAGTACTACAAGAATCATCTAATACGGCTAATATAAGATCAAACGAGATAGAAGAGAATAAAAATTTTTCACGATCGGGAACGCAAAATTTCATACGACGACGCGTGATAAATCGAACAACAGGCAAGGTCGACGAAGATCTTCTTCGTGTAAATCCGAACGGTACAAGGCGTCGCGTAATATTTCGTACTCGAAGTAGGATGGAAACTAGTACCAGGACCGACGACGTGCAAAGTTCTAGCGTAGCGAGCGTCGATACGCCAGATCGGAAGTTAAAGCCAAGAAGGAGGACCGTCCTAAAGAGAATGAGGCTCAGAACAAGCGGAATAGCAAAAGGGAATGATCTACCTGAAGGGAATGCCGAAAATAATGGCGGTTCCGTGCAAGTTCAGGATTTGGAGGCACAATCCAATCAGAAGAATACAGACCGTGAGGTCAGTGCCGCACGATGATAACGCTGTTCTTGCAAAAAAAGCGAAACTTCTCGTCGAAACTTCTTCTCCTCGCATTCTATTCTCTTAACGCTACCGCCATCTTGCAAATTGACATTTGGGACAGTTTCGTGTATATAAATCTATGCATAGTATAGATATAGCATATCTACGCGCTGGCCTCTGTGTCTTTTTCTATCTGTCTGTGCATCAAGCATCCATAATTTGCCTGCCGAAGAAAATTCTCTAGGGAATCGACTAATTCGTCTCAACGAATGGGGCACATAACTATCATTATTACTACCACTATTGCTACTACTATTATACTACTATGAATTCGGCCGTAATTCTGACTAATATCAAGAGAGAACGAGAAGTCTCTTAATGCTTGCGAACGTTAATAATAATTTAACTCGGAGGAAAGAGCGCGGCTTGACTGTCGCGCGCTGAACTCCAAATTGTCTATCAGCCGTCTCTCTAATCAATTCTTCGCTGAATCGCTAGAACATAAGTATACATAAGTATATGTCGCTTGAGTTCTGTTCGATGTACACAAAACTGCGTCAGGAACAAACTCGTATCACGTGCCGCATTATTTTTATGAATAAGATTAACTTAGGAACAATGGATGATTACAAGTGTATTGATCCGAGATGATTGGCTGGACAGGTGAATCTTTTCAAGAATTCAGCCGGCGGTGCCAGAAGACCCGGAACTGTAGTACGACCATCCACGACAAGTAGAACACTCACTAGAACTTCATCGCTTCCTGATGATGTCTCCGATGCGATAATACACCGTCGTAAATTTCGACCTGGGGACGGTGGCTTAAAGCCAACAACCAAATCAATTATTCGTAAGCTACTAGATATAATTAGAAAACAATCACAATCTTACCATTGCTCTACGACAATCATTGCCCCTTTACAGGTGCAACTGACAATTCCAAGCAGGATAAGGATGACACACTCGCAAATGACCACCTGGAAGTCGAAAAAGATGATCAGAGTAGTCGCGCACAGGAAGTCGCTGTGACTGTAACGCAACGACCACAGCCATCAGCTCCCACAGCAACAGGTATAAATTTTATATTCTACTATCACTAAAAATCATGAATGAAATTTTATTCTATGTGGGTTCCTTTCTATATGTCTATACTGAACTGTGCCTTTATCTCTGTGTCTAATCGATTTAATTTCCCTTCAGCTGGAACACAAAAGAAACAATTATTCAATCGTCATCAAACTAATTATCTCACTGTCTGTCGTTATCTGTTTATGCAATCGTCATCCGACTGATGGCCGTTGACTCTACGTACGACCTCTACAAAACACTCTTTCTACCCGTTCTACTATCATTCCACCTACTGCATTGCTGTCTATCTGTCTGTCTGTCTCACTGTTTTCCGTACATCCGCTGTACGTACCATTCTTTATGTTTCGTACTAACATCGCACGGCTCTCGCAACACACACTGCTCTATCATTTTGCTTCTTTGTCTTCTGCTTGATTTGTTGCTGCTTTTCTGTGTAAATATTAGCCAAGCCATTTCGCGCATGGGCTCTAGAACTCTACCAGAAGGTCATACAAGCATTTCTGGGACCAATGGAGCTCATGCAACGAATGTCATCGAAAGAGATGTACGAAAAGAGTATCTCTTACAAGAGGCTTTAATCGTGAATATTTAAATAGGTGGCCATAAGTAGTAAATGAGGTCCATAGAAAATACATATTACTTGAGAAAACGAGCGCGATAGAATAGTACTAGTCTTTTATTATAAAAGAAAAAAATATTTATTATATCTATATGTTTTATAGTCGCACGTACATGCAATTTGTAGCCATGCTTTTGCTGTACTTTTAAGTGCTGCTTCATAAAAACAACAAAATTAAATAGCGTACTCATGTAGTTCTCACTCAACGACACACGAGGCACTATGAGTAATGTAGAAAAATACTTGCACCACTAGGTCGCCCACTGTTCAGAACTGCCTTAAGACGCAGGATAAGCACCACCCAAGCACCTAGAACAATATCCGTTACAACAACGTCGGCATCGACGACAACGGCTCGACCCATTGTCGTCAGACGACGTCAGAGACCGGTACCTTATGAAAAAATCGTGGAGAACTTACCCAGCAAACCGCGACACCGACCCATCATTGATTACGACTACTACGAGGATGAGGAGGAGCGTGTTATAGGGAAGCCAAAACTCTCCGGGAAACTCTTCATCACGGGTAGAGGTGGTATCCGTTGTTTGGATCAGGGTAACTTCCCTCATCCAACGTCGTGCAAAAAGTTCATCACTTGTGCAAGAATGGTCAGCGGTCAAGTCATTGGCACTGAGTATACTTGTCCAGATAAGCTATCGTTCGATCCGGTCGGCGGAATTTGCAACTGGTCCGCCGGTCTTGGCTGTAAGGAATAATAAGAATTGTTATTGTCTTTATTTTGATACCGAGGAGGATGAAAAAAATGGCCGAGATTTTCGTGGCGATTTTTTATCAACTCTTTTTCACGCTAATATGAATGTTTAAGTTGTATTCGTTATTGAGCCTGCAAAAGGGCTGTTCTCGTCGTATTTATTGTATAAGTTTTATTTTGTCGCGAGCGACAATGTATATGACAAAATCAGAGAAACGGTAGCCATAATAATTAATTCATAATGAATAATTCTAAACAGAGAGCGGTGTGATATTATCGTTAAATAAAAGTATTCTCGTATTCTCGTGTATATATATGAATGTAAATAACGTATTATACGCTTTAGTACGGTGTCGTACTAGGGACGTAATTTATAAATCATCACTTGTACGTAGTTTTACAGGAAGTCTATTGTTTATATCGATGTCCAAGGAGAATCTCTTCAATTTTGTAGGCGTAGTCGTTAAGATTCATGAAATCAATTCAAAATTCGTTTATTGGTATATAAGTTTCGATTGAACGTTCAGATCACAAAGCTATCTTACATGTAGTATTATTTGAATAAAAGTATGGTATATCCTCAATTATTTCTCATATTTACCTATTGCACATAATAGCGTACCTTATTTAGCTTAATACCAATGTTATTACGAGTATATAACTGATTACATTGTACATGCGCCAGTGCGGATTTGTTATGTAGTTTTCATGCTAGCGAAAAATAAGTATGATCCACATACTCCAGCAACTCACAAGACGTAAGAAAATGCTGATTGGCCGAAGTAAGGTAGTGGGAATATAGCAAGATTTCAATAGCCAATCAGTAATAGGGAAAGCAGTGGCATCTATCGAAAAATGTATACAATTTTAATTCGAAATATATCCGTTAGAGAGCGTAGAAAGTATCTCACGTAATTCACGAAACGGGAGTTGGCAACTATGCTTATTAACATTTTATCAGTGACAAAGGTCGATCACAATGTACTTGGCCACGATCGCGGTTTATAAATAATATTCTTTACAATATCATAATGCTACAGTAATTATAAAAACCACTATATAACTGTTAAAAATTAGAATAATATGTATATTGTACATTTTTTTAAGTTATCGATTTTTCTCGGAGATCGACTATCGAGAGGTAGTCCTTTTAAAATATCGATACACTAATTGGCTAGGAAGTGCGAATAGCTGTGAATATACTCAGATAAGGTGCGGTGAGAGTAACTAATTCGAGAATTCAGAAAATTTTAACTATTATTACAATCGAGATTAATGTTGCATCACGCTATTTGTAGACGTCTGTATTTATCTTGAGGCATGTATCATGTCGCGTCAAGACTGCGTTACATTTGAGAGAATTTGCGAAAAGCAAGTCGTCCTTACGTACTGCTGGCAGTGACCCACCCTAACAAATTTTTACTCGCCTCGGCGAAAGCGACGACGAGTCATGGAGAACAATGCGCAGGAGAATTACGCCGGCAAGGAGGATCAGGAAGGTATAACTGGTAGCACTTGCATAGTATCACATCACTACCACCATCACCATGACAAATCATCATCAACTATCACCTTTGACCACTGTCGTTTATTAAGATCTTGAAGCTGCGAGGACAAAGGCTGAGAAACTGGCATTGGAAAATACTCACATCAGAGAGGAATTTAACGTTCAGAGAGCAAAAATGAAGGAACTTTTCCTACAGAAGGAAGGTGAGTATATGGCTTCCCTGGATCCTGGTTCTCCTTTGGACATCCTGTTATCTGCATTGTAGAAGAATTGAAAAGAAGACTCGAGGAGAATATGTGCCTGAAGGATGTAAATGTTCGTCTACAAAGGGAATTAGATGAATCTAAGAGTGAGCTGTTGTGTGCAATTGAAGTAAAGAATAGCATCCTCTTGGAGAAGCATAAGGCTGATGAAGAAATTGAAACCCTGCAACAGTTTGTTCGTGAAACTGTAGAAATGTCGGATTCTGCAAAAAATAAATATGACGGTGAATTGCGCAATTTGCAAATGGTTGTTCATAGACTACAAGAAGAAAATGTTGCCCTAAGATCCCAAATGCCTCGTGATCCACCTACAGAGGGATCACAAATTTCATTATCCACAGTAACTAAGTCATTGGCAAGGAAAGTAGCATCCCAGTTAGGGGCGGATGCTCTTTCTTTAGGACCTGATAATTTAGAAGAAAGCATGCGGAAGGTAAACAAATATGTACGTAATAGTTTTGTTTGCACATATAGAATCTGAGGTAGCAGCAGAAGACTGGATTTCTGTTTGAGTCTTATTCCTCTTATTTTCCTTTATAAACTATCATTATTAGTATTGTGTTCTTCAACTCGCTGTAGTTTCTGTTTTACAGGCACATGAAGAAGCGGAAGTACTGCGTTCTTTAGTGGTGCCACTCGAAGATGAGATCAAGGTTCTCAAAGATAAATTAAGAGATACAGACGACGAATTACAAAAGTACAAAGAAATGCAACTGCCCAAGAGACAAGATTCTGGATCCTTGGAAGCTTCATGTGATATGTGCGCAAATTATGAAACACAGCTGGTTAGAGTCCAAGCAAATGCTAAGGACTTAGAAAAAAAATTATCCTCTTCCGAACGTATGCTACAAGCCCAAAGAGAGGATCTCTCGAAGGAAGTAGAGTTTCGAAAGGAAATGGAAGAGAAGTGGAATGAAAGGAAAGAGGAACATAAACTCAAAGTTGCTGAACTTACCAGTGCCCTGCAATCTTCCCAGCAGGTCTTGTCCGAACTGAAACAAACGTTTGATCGTATAAGGCACAATGTAACAGAAAAACTATCTAAATTAGAACGCGAAAGGGAGGATGTCCAGCGACGTTTAAATGCGTAAGGAAATACTTTCTATTGCATTCAATAGCTGATTAATTCAAGTCTTCGTTTTACGATACGGACAAGTATTCAAAATGGAAACTTGTTTACCTGATTTTTATTGAAAATATAGTTGGATTGTTACAGGCTAGAAAAAGAAAATGAGAGTCTCATGGGAAAACATAGCAAGCATTCCCAGCTACTACAGAGCGAAGTGATTAATATGCCAAATAATGTAGAGGAATTGCACGAACGTGTTCTTAGGATGCACGAAGATCTAATTATGGCTCGCGTCGCACAAGAGGAGGCTGAGGATAAAGGAAAAATACTAGAAATCGACGTGAGTCTACTTAGAGAGCAAATACAGCAGGATCATAACACTATGACAGAAAAAGAATCCATGTTTTTAGACAAGATTAAAAACCTTGAGTAAGTAATTCTTTTATCAATTGTTAGCGGTAGGATTAAAAACCTTTGCATAGTTATAACCGTCCTTAAAATACTACCCTGTGTTACTCTTAACTTTGCTATCAACAACAGGTCTCAGTTGAGTAAATACGAACGAGAACATCAAGTCTTTATTGAAATGAAAGTAAAACTAGAAGTATTAGAGAAACAGCTGGAAGATATTACGAAGGAAAAAAAAGAAGCAGAATCAAATACTGCTCAGTTACGTCAAAGGATAGCTTGTCTTCAATCGGACTTAGATACAAGTGAACATGTACAAAAAGACTTTGTCCTATTGTCTCAGTCGCTTCAGGTATACGATTAGCACCTGCTCAACTATTCTACATTAAAAACGTTATAACTTTTAATTATTCCTGATCTACAGGTTCAGTTGGAAAAGATAAGAGAATCTGGTGGCGAGGTCAGGTGGCAACATGAAGAAGATGTCGATGAATGTTCTGGTTGTCGTGTTACCTTCACAGGTAGCAAGAAAAAGGTTGTACAAATTTGTATTGTAATACATTATGATGTTTCTTAATCTAACACTGATATTGCTACTATGTCTATAGACGCATTGTCGTCATTGTGGCCATATATTTTGCCAATCGTGTCTGACAAGAGTTGTAAACAGTGGACCGAATCAGAGGCCCTCCCGTGTCTGTGATGTTTGCCATACTTTGTTGGTGCCCGATACGCCTCCCTATTTTAGCCGAGAACCGCCACACACACAAGACTAAAAACTATCTTAGGAAAAGCTGAGCAAAAGGAATTCTTTGACCCAAAGTGCAATATTAAATTGGTATGAGAAATGTTTATTATTACGTAATAATTAACGGTCTAAAGAGAGTCTAATTATAAATGACGATACTTGTCTTTCTTTCAGGACATCAATAGACAAAAACGTTAGAGAATATCCACGGCTAGACGAGAAACAAATTCCTATTCCCCGACAATTGGGTGAGAGATGACGATTATCGTGTAAATACAAATCGTGTATTACTTAAAATTTACTGTAATTTAAAAATATAAAGTTCTTCAATGTATCAATTTGAGTTGAACTCTGAATTTCTCGTTATCCGCAAACATAGAGTATAATCAAAAGTTTGACGTTTTTGTTGAAACAAATGAAAATAATCATTTTTTTTATCTTACCTCTGATATGATCACTTTGTGTTGTCGATAAAATGATACCTAATTTCCAATGATGTCAGACAAATTTTTCAGTTCGTATAATAAACTTTAATCAAATATTGGAGATACCACGCTGTTTAATGCAATTTTTAAAAACTGGTGAGAACACCAACTTCAAAATCGGCCTGTGGACATAAGAGTCAGTAATGACGCAGAAACAACCATCTTCAGGGTATACTGATAGATAGTAGACTGACAGATTATGATCATTAACATTTACACTAGCACTCTCCGGAAACAGGATCTCGCCTCCGTATGTAGAATTTTGAAGAGGGTATTAAGCCGCAAGTAGGTTTTTACTAATGAGTAAAAATATATATAAGAAATCTGAATTATCTTTTCACAGAACAATAAAATAAAGGAATACTTTACCTCTGACTTTGGTCCACTCAGCGACCGAAGCCAGAGCTTCAAGTGTAATTGAGATACATATTTTCATAATCGTTGTAACGCTTTTCAATGGAACATCATATTTATTATTCCGTAATAAGGTATCAGATATAATAATTTCACACCCACCAATAAATGCTTCATGATGATCTGATAACTACTTATCACTGCAGAAAATAGTTTTAAATTAATAAGGGAAATGAGCTTCTATACCCGTATGTCACGAATGTGTATACAGAATGTTTGAAAAATAACAGACGCGAATAGCACGGAAAAATTCTATGCGAAAAATCGAAAATACTTGTTTTAGTATAATACCATTTTTAAATCAAAGTCTGAAGATACTCATTGTCAGACGGCTTTGGATAAATACCATGCTTACGTACTTCAATTCAACGGTGCTTATTCGTGGTCCAGCAACACGAACACGGTAGTATACATATAACAAGAATAGCACCGCGATGCCATACATATACTACCAATGCTCTACAGTTGAAGCTTGCTACAGTCAAAAAGATATAATATAACTATACAATTTCCACTTTCACTTCTTTACATATAACTTCTTACCAAAGTTCTGAGTTCTGTTAGATTGGGTTATGCCATCCTGGAGCATCGAAGAAATAGCCATTCTTTGTGATTTTCTTTTTGCTTAATAACCAAAACAAAAAGCAATTCATCTTTTAAGAGTTGTGATGTATAAATTAAAAAACGGGTTCTCTTGTTGCGTATTATAGACAATCCAGTGTGATTCGAAAAGAAGATAACAGGAAAATGGAGAATATCTTATTTGTCTTTCTCCTTAATAAGAAAATAGAGCTGTTCAGACTGCACCTTAGGGTATATACGTAATTGACTGATTAATTGGGACGATTAAAACTTATAAAAGAAATAATGACCCAACGCATTCTAACGTTTTCCAAACGCATTTATGGCTACAGTTATATACAAAGTAAATATCTTGATAACGTGAAGCAGTAAATCGGTGAAAGGTTCACAGAAACTGTCGGGACGTGATTACGCTTTCTTTTTTCTTTCTCGCCTCTCTTTTTTCTCTTCCTTTCATCATTTTGTTGTGAACGAATTAGTATCTTCTATTTGATGATGATGTTTCAGTTTGGGTTGAAAATTTGCGCGAAGACAACATTCGTCTCGTGGTGTGTATACATTACATGGAGAAAAACGTTTCAATTACATCCTCAATTGGCTGTGGACGCCTCATTAAATCGATTGGTGGGTCTTCCGACTGTACATGCCTAAATCTTAACTCCTTCCAATGAGTCAGGGTATCCGTGTATTCCAGAACCTTGTGGTATTCGTCCAATTTCGTATAAACATGCAATAGTCCTCTGTAATCGTACTCAAGTCCACTGTAGCTCTTGCCAAATAATTTTAGACCTGTCACAAACATTGTCAGGAAATAAAAAAAAATATAAATTGGCGGCAGGTTATTTGGCAGGTACTCACTGATCGCAATACTGCGGTAATACAATTTCTCAGCATCCCTGTAGCGATTCATGTGAAAATTATATAGAGAAGCCAGATGTCCTATACTCAATCCAACCTCATAATCCTGAGGTCCTAATAGTTCTTCCTTGATACTAATTGCTTTTAAGTGCATAGCTTCCGCTTCCTGCAACAGGTATATAGTACAACTATTTACGTATTATAGTTCACATCAAATAAGTTGCACTTATGGAGATTCTTTTTATGTACCTGAAACTTTCTCATGCTCTGGTACAATCTTCCTAAATTGCCATAGTGCTTCGCGGTTTGTACGTTTCTTTCGCCGAATGCTGTTTTTGCCAAATGAAGGGCAGATAAATGAAGACATTCAGATTTGTGGAGTAAATCCTGCTCGGAGACTGGTGCTGGTGCGCTGTCCAATGCAATTTCTTCCAAAATCAAAGCCTTTACTCTTTTTGCGCTAGCCAGCATTAAATGTTCCTCAAGTAATAGTTTCTCCATAATATCAATGGCTTTGTCGGCATGATCACTGTAACGAAGAATATTTTTTAACGCAAATAAAAATAACCAAATAAATACAGCGCATACGCATAGAGATACGAACCTTGCCTGTTGGAATTTACCGGAACTGTATTCATGTACGTAAAGAGCATAAGCAAGGTCCTCATGTGCTATGGCGACGTGAAGATTAGTTTTACCAAATATCGCCTTTCTAATACCTAATGCAGCCTGAAATAAAATATATGCTAATTGAGACTTTGTATTTTGGTTTATATTATCGAGCGTATTGCTTCAACGTACCCTATAGACTGTTACACTGTTGATAATACTATCGTAATTCAACAAGTAAAATCCATAATCTATAAGAACGTCGCTGTACTTTGGATGATCGGTACCGAAGACTTCTCTTGCGAGATACACAGCCTGTCTGATCAGTAGTCCAGCTTTCTGGAATTCGCGTTTCACTACACATGATTTTGCAGCTTGCCGTAGAACATCAATTGTTATTCTCGCAGGAAGCATTGGTCCCAGCTGTTTCAAAGCCTCAACACTCCATCTGTAAAAGAACAAAGGAGCCAATGTCTAGCAGAAATCGAGGGTGAATAACACTGAGGACAAAAACCATCTGGATGGAGTAATTACCTGTACGCCAAATGGTATTCGCTTCGTGTGAAGAAGAGTACACTGAACTCTGTGTACAGAGCAGCATGATTGGCACCTTCATAACGTGCAGTCTCTAATTTATCGACCATGGTCAGTGCTAACGCGTGTGTCTTTTCAGCTCCTCGAAACGCACAGTATGCCGCTTGTGCGTGTAATAATCTAAATGATTTTCAAACGTTTTTGTTTGTGTTTATTCCTATTTACGAAAACGCAACAGGATACAACGGTGGTAGACATGCTCACTTGTGACAACAATCCAAAGTTCTGCACCAATTCTGCGGTCTTTGACTGGCTGATAGACACAGTTCCTTGCAAGCGAGTAAAACTTTCTCACTCTCCGAGTACCAGCCGGCATCACTTAAGAATCCACCCAACCTCAGACCTAGATTTATGAGATTTTCTTTCGCTGTGGTACTTTCTCCTATACCAAAATGACAGACATCGTAGCTGAGTGCCAGCTCCTTTCCAACTCTTGTACCATGATCCATAAGAGCCTTATTAATAGTGAACAAAAGCATTAATAAAGGTAATAAGTTACTGAGACATTTAATGGCTGTAAATAAATTACCTGGAAGATTTGTAGTAGATGTATACGACGATTTGTAACTTTGAGCATCCTGGAGAATGTTTGCAGGTCGCTTAATTCCATACCCAGCAAACATAACTTTTTGTCTTTATACAACTAAAAGAATAAAGTTATGTACATTAAATATCCAGTTCTGCTATATTAATGGATTAAAAGAAATACTTATTTTCTCATAAGGAACATATTATCTGTATGGTGGTACAATGCACTTTGTCCTGTGATTCTGCGAGTCACTGATAAAGTTCTGATATAAATATATATATTGGCAATTTTACTCCAGAATGCAGCAAACTTGAGATAAATATATATTACCAATAGGTTCTGTCAAACCAAACCAATAACTCCAAAATGCTAAACTGTCTGATGTGCAGCTTATAGTCTAATTAAATTCACATGAAAAACAAATCTACTCAATTAATATATAAACAATCTGTATATTAGGAGGATATTGATCTTGACACAGGTAACATCTAAGAAACATGTATTATGCTATTTTAAAATGTAAGCAGAGAGAACCATGAGGGCCAGATGTCACAAATAGTTCTAAATAGCAAATAGAAATATTTTAGATGGCCAGTTTACCATATCACGCTATCATAAAAAGAAAAAGGAAAGAGACAGATATACAAATATCTCAAATAACATCAGGTTAATCTTATACAGCTCTATAGATTGGAGTCGTCATTGACAATCAGGTGGGAGATTGCGAGAAATAATAATAATAATCACATTCGCTCTTATACGAATGTCGTCACGAACAATGCAGTGTTCGCCTTCTGACGAAATTCTCAAAACCGATTGATTATTTTCTATTATGGACGGGGAGAAAAGAACAATGAAAATGTTCGACTAGTTCTAAAATACAAGGATTCTTTCCATCATTTACTCTCTCTCTCTCTCTTTACACTTTACCATGCGAAGACATACTGAGACGTCTATGGGACGCAAAGCAGCGTGTGCTAAAAGATAATTTGACGTTTACCTGATAGTAGAGATCAAAAAATACGTTCTCCGGAAGATACGCGCTATGTTTCTTGAATAAAAGGAACTTGTCGGCGACAGCAGATATGCTTAACTCGTAGAGACTTTTGGTGGAAAACACCCGTGACTCGCGTCCTTCGGCCATTTTCCTAGGGCCTTCGACGACTTCACTACGGACTACCACATACACTCCTACGGCCGCTGTCTCTTTCTCACGTCTTCCACAGGAATATGCGCTCTTTGGGCACCGCAAACTACACCGTAGTCGATCCCCACCACCAGAAAATCCCAAAAGACCACTTGCGGATAGACGATCCCAGTGGATAAAGATGGCAAACATTGCGGTCAACTTTTATACCTATCGTAAAGTTGAACATTGTTAGAATACTATGGATTTGTAGTCATGTATACATTCCTTTCGTTTTCAATTTGTTTCATAACTATTTATGAGTACATGTTGCATTGGTTAAGGAAGCTTTTGAAATTTGCGATTTTTGGAATAACATGGCTTCACTAATGTACAACTGCCATATCGATGGAGTATCATTACTGTGAACGATGCTTTATTCTTGTCTATAGAAATATTTTCCGTGGGTTTACTTTGCACTGATTAAATAAACCAATGGTTTGTTGTATAATTAATGATAAGATTCTTTAATGTTTTAAACAAATATACGGAATCATATTCTCTGGCTCTTTTAAACCTTAATGATTTAGGGTCGAAGGGCAGTTCATGATCCGTTAAATCAACCGAATACAGTGTGTCATTTCTCAATGATCATTCGAGACTTGTGTTCTATTATTATGATTATTGTTATATCGAAATTGTTGATAAATCAACGACAATACAAATGTATGATAATTATCTTTCTAAATAAAACCTTACGAATAAAATAGATCAGACATCTGAAGGTAGAAGCTGGCATACGCCAGAATGGTAATACAAAAGAAAAACAATTAAATTATGCAATAGATTACCTTCTATAAAAGCGGAAATCATTTTTTTAAGTTTCATATTCCACGTCTATTATTAATTTGCAATCATACATAATCATTTAGGGAAAAGAGACAATTTTAAATGGCCAAATTATTTATAAATACATATAACCACTCATTGATTATTTGCATATATCCATCGATCTTATAATTACACGTAACAGTATAATTATTTCAATTTACCGCCTGAATACTACTACTTCACTGCATGACGTGTGTATCCGTCTGTCTTTATACAGGCGCATCACTTATTCTTATATCCTTAGCTATTTGAAATATTTAACAGTATAAGCTATATGGGGACAAGACGAAAACAAAGGATATATTCAGTATTTCCTACCAAACTTGAAAATGATTGGCGTACGTAGAAAAACAGAAACAAATGCCAAAATTGTTGCAATCGTTTTAAAAGAGGGCAATGAATGGCGCCAGCGTTGGGCCATGCCTCTCCCGGCCCCATGTCATACTTTTATTTTTAAATAGTATAGCCGAAACGTCTAAGGTAATTTCAATTTATCGGTGACATTTCCTTTGAATCTTAGTCCAAGAAAATATAAGGAAATGACAAATGCAATCGTTCTTCTGAACGAAGTGTCACTTTGACGAGTTTATCAAAAAGATTCAATGATTGTAAAACAAAGAATTTTCAACCATAGGAATCTTACGGTGTAACACCGTGAGCAGGATGGATGGCTCGAGTCAGGAGCAACAAGCACCAGAGGAAGAGCTGTCATGTTCCTTATACGTATCGAGAGCAGCAGGAAGCCAGATTCAGGCACAACCTGACGGAGCACAAGGTGGCGAGCTTCTACGATCTACACTTGAGGATGCCATCCGTGCTACTGAACCTTTTGGAGCCTGGCAAGTTTCTGAAACGTCTTGTGGCTTAATAGCAGCTTTTGCTCGTGACGCTGATGCTGACAAACTCCTGCAGCATGGTGATCTTGCCAGAATCTTCGAAGGACCCGTTCAAGTACATATGCGCCCCAGCGAATCGAATCTCCTCATTCTCTCTAGTATTGTTTTATTAATTAAATCTCTCACTGTGCAGGTAGCTCGATTTTCTGCAAGAGATTCTCGTTACAGACAGGCTGTGCTCCTGAGAGAAGTACCCTGGGCCATACCGCTGCAGGATTTGAGTTCTGCCCTGGCGAAGCAGGGTATCGCTACAGGAAGTGTTGAACGTTCAAGACAATACGTTCGCGTAGAGGTAACACAACACAATTTAATTAAAAAAATTAAAAAGTAAATCCTATTAACACCTCTTTTAATATTCAGGTTCTTGACGCTGGCCATTACGAGCTTTTGCTGCGTCAGGGTCTGGATTTCTTTGGCGCGGCACGTTTCAGCGCAATACCAGAACGTTGGTGGCGTAACGGTGCAGGCGGTGCGACCTCACTAGGGCAACCTGCAACGGGAAATTGCAATCTGCCAGAGACGTCGAACGTCCAACAGGGTGATGGAGTACTGCAGTGCTACAGGTGTCAAGGTTTCTGGCACGTGGCTGCAAATTGTCGACACCTACCACGATGCGTCCGCTGTGGAGAGACTCATAGTGTTGAATTCTGTCCCAGGCCACGCAATAATCCTATCTGTTGTCACTGCTCGGGCCCTCATCATGCTGGTGAGCATTGGCATTGTTTATTAGAATAATTCTGTATCATTTTTCCTTCTGATATGATTTAGGCTATCGACAGTGTCCAGTCAGACTACAACTTTTAAACGCAACGCCTGTAAGCATTACTCTGAGCACGACCCATACAGGAGCATCGTATCCCAGTGGAAAATCAAGCTCGTCCCAGAGTCAGCACTCTTTCAAACCGAGCCATTCGTAAAAGATTCCCCTTGAAAGTATCAAGTCCGTGTCTCCAAGTCTTAAAGTGATTAAGCGACACTTTTGTCTATAATATATTCAATAACTTTAGCAACTACAATATCCCACAGAGAAGCATTCACATATAACTACGCGTAAATCAAGGGTAATGAATCCATACAGAAAATATAGATCCTGCAAATTCGCAATAATCTTCATGAAAGCGTGTATCTGTGCCAGCTATATTTTTCCAGCAAAATATACATGAGATATACGATTATTATTACTTATGGTTGTATGTCTACTTTAACAAAATTACTGATAGCACTTGGATGAAAATGATCCAGCAAATCAAGAGATCATCCTTTTCATCTCTTTCGCCAGGTTACACACAATCAGTCTAGGTAGAGTTAGTCTCATGGTATAATTCGTCCTACTTTCTTCGTATCGTAAAAGTGGGTTAGCTCGAGCGTAACTCGCCGAGGTCGTAGAGGTAGGGGGATATACAGGTGCCTGCCGTCATTTATTCATCTCCATTCGATCGCCATAGCTACTAGTTCGATAACAATACCTGACTGACCAGTCAGCCAGTCAGCCAGTCAGCCTGTCAGTGAAAAAGTTCAATCCCTAAGCTCGGTCCTGCCGCACCTAGTTAAATGTTCCATGTGGCAACATCTGAAACATAAATTCTGGACAAACTATTTCAAGAAACAAGGAATTTGACGTTTAAAGGGATACGAAGAAATGACAATTGACTTTTCGAGTATACATCCTTACCACACAATGCAGCGAATAAGCGCATATACTTTGCGGCACCGTTAAACGTTAGCTACGTTTAGGGAAAGTTTATGAACTTCTTAGACATTAAGAAAGACAGTAGTTTATCGTCTGTATAAACAATTTATATTGAGGTATTGCGCGGAGTGTATCTGTTCACTGTTTTACATTTTTCAGTGATATATTTCCTGGACATCTTTGTTCGCGGTATATAAAGACATGACTTCGTTCGAGGTGACGTTATTTTTTGTGCTGTGCGCGTCTTCCTTCAGCTTGCAACAGCCCACCTTCTTCAAGAGTACTTACAAAGGTTTGAATAGAATCAATCCTCGTGCAGCACTTTCAACATCAGGTGAAATGCTTGCCGTTTATTACCATGATCAGACTGTAGCTGTTGTTGAACTAGGAATGAATAATGAACTTCACAACTGCGAACTCGTTGAAGTCTAGTAAGTATTTAATCGCAGCGATTCTTTTTTAGTTAAGTTACTAATAATCTTTTATCATCCTCTACACTTTATATTAAGAATTCTTTTTAAGAAAGGTAGATCTGTCAAGGTTAATAGATTACTTATTCTTATCTCACAAGTGGTTTTATTAAATCCATGCACGGACCCGTCAGTGGATGCCTTTTTTGCAATACAATTTGCGTCACGCTTTGACATTCCTCTATAAGGTGCGTCGGGACTTTTATTTCCTTTGCTGTTCAGAAAATTAAAAAAACCGTGATCTTTATTGTTGAGCAATGTACACATTTGTGATCTTGAATCATAATATATCCTTCCCTGGTAACCGCAGTGAAACGACTCATGGTTGATCGCACAGTGGGTTTCTATTCTTTAGGTCTAATGCGAAGTAAATATTCGAGAAATTCGGTCGATCGAGAGAGCAATTTTCTCATTAGACCTCTAAAGTACTACTATGTCTAGAAACTATACTCTGTGCTTGGCCTCAAAAGGAAATTAGAAATTGTACCAAAGACCTCAATGTGTGAGAAAAGTCGTGACATTTCATTTTCTTATAAGAATAATCGACGAGTTTACTATTCTTTCTTGGGATAGTGTTAAACCTTCATCGATTTTAGCGAGCCACATGAAGCCATTGAAGTCTTAAAGAACTTATCATCGGAAGTACAACCGCAACAAGTATCATTCCAAGAAATGATGAAATTAATGCGTCAGTGTGATATACTTGACAAAATGCAAGGCGAAAATTCTCACACTTTATCTACGATACCTAAAGGGAATGGAGATGGAATAAATCCACTGAGTTTGCTCTCAGGAATTATACCAGGTTCGTTTGTCGAGGATACGCTTGTTTCTTTTTCTTTAAGTCATAAATTATTTATATTTTATGTTGTAGGTACGAAATGGTGCGGAACCGGAGATATAGCAGAAAATTACCACGATCTAGGAGAAGAAGCTTCTATAGATAGGTTGGAAACTTAACATATTGATGATAAATGATATGTGACTAATTTCTTAACAGAAAGTGAAACTTGCCATACTTTCTTTCAGATGTTGCCGAAGTCATGATCTTTGCCCTGTCAAAGTTCGCGCTCAAAGAATGCGATATAACCTGACTAATTACTCCCTATATACCAAGTAAATAGCAGATACTTCAATTTGACTAACCGTATAGTAGTATTTTTTTGTCGTGTACTGAATCACTTTATTTTTGTTTCCAATACAGATCACACTGTAACTGTGATGATTTGCTGTACAAGTGCCTGAAGGCCGCCTCTCATCCGTCCGGCAACGTCATGGGACGTATATACTTCAATTTAGTGAAAGTACCATGTATAGAAGATGAGGGTACGAAAAAACGGTTTACATCTGTAAAAATGTATTATTAGATTATGACGCAGTGCTTGCCAACGGTTGTCTGCCTACATTGCTAAATACATTGCCATTTGTTTTATTGAATAAATATAATTTTTTTGTATAAGAGTACCATTGTTTCAATTCTTGATAAAAAATTAATCATTCTTCCTAATCAGTCCGGCTACGTCGCAGAAAGTACGGCTAATTGCATTGAAGGTAGATGAATCATCATATCTTTGACCGTTTGACTCACATCTGATAATTCATGATTATATAGATTTCCTAATGAAACAAATACTGTAAATATGTATAATGCAAACAATAAGAGCTCAATGTGCACCAACGTGTCAAAACAGCTTTTCACAAGTGGCAATTGATAACGACTGGTGAAAGTACAGATAGTATTAGCCAATTAGATTTTTGTAAAATTAATAGCATTTTCACTTTTGCCAACTACTGCATGTTGTGAAAAACTTTCTTGGGTCATTGGCTAACCTGTCATCCATAGCGCTTCCTTTCTAACATGAATATATGGGTGTGATAGTAATTTATTCATGAGAAAGTGCAATTCTTCTCTTGTATAATTGGGATTATTTAATAACGCCTTTGCTGCTTGCCCCGATGCTTCTGGTATTGTATTTGCCAGTAATCTTACAGTAGCCGTGACCTAATAAATTATAGTACACTGTATTATGTTGAAACAAGTAAGGAGTGAATCAAGGAAGCATTGTAATTACCCGAATCACATCCGACAGTTCATCAGCAATACTACTGTAAAGATAGTTGACTGCAGATGGTACTACTTTTAAAAGAGGAATTGTACAGGCGGGTTCAGATGAAAGTAAAGCCAAAAGCCAACTGGCATTAGAACGAATACATTCAGAGAACCTTTCTGAAAGTGTTTCTGCCACTGGCACTATTTCATCAATCCTACAAACATTCAAAATATGAAAATAAATTTTATACAAATCAGAATCCATCTACAGTATATTATGTCCTTACACATCGTACTGTTTGTACTGAGTGCCAGCATAAATGCAATGTATGCTTGCGTATATTACTGAAGGTAGAATAGAAATATCACAGTTGCACATTAAGGAAACCAAATGTCTCAAACAACCTTGAGCATAAAGAGTTTCAAATGCTTTTTCACTACCACCAACCAAGTTTCCTATGGTCCATATACAAATGTCCTGTAAAAAGAAAAACAAATTTTGTTTCATATCATGAAATAACCAGCAGGATCCTTATTGATTATTTACCATTAGTGGATAGTTTAAAGTATCTAATATTCCAATCAGATACGGAGCTGCAGATTTTACCAGAATAGTGCAAACTTTGGAATTACCAAGTGCAATATTGCAGCAACAGCTGGCTGCATATAATTGTATAACAGGATTCTTTCCAGACAGATCTCGAACCAAAGCATACACAATATTTTCCACTTTTAAAAATGTATTGATGTTTTCCTCACTCTATTAAATAAAAACATATCCAATGAGATGTACATAAAAATATGTTAGAGAAAAAAAAACTAACCTGTATGAGGGCATTTTGTAATTGTTGATAATCTTCTATCGCTAATGGCTTTTTCTTTAGTAAATGAGCCTTTGCTAATATGAATTCTTTACTAAAACACAGTGAATTGGATATTTCACCCAAAGCTTGTCTGTTCTTATTCAATACAATTTCTCGTTGATGTTTTCTATATGATGATATTGTTTCTCTCATATCCTCGCGCATAACCTCAACATATTTGTCTTTCGTCGTTTCAGGATTTTCTGCCATTTTATGACGATTGGTTAATATCCATTAACCTACTGACTGTTTACAATTCAAAATATGCAAGCAGTTTTGCAAATCATAAAATATATAATTTTTGGATATTAGGTTATTTACGATCCTCTGTATGTACATGAATGAGCTGAACGAGACCGTATCACAACACCACGTATTTAAAATAGGTTGCTGACTAAACTCATTTGGAAACAGCAGTTGTATCGATCATTTATTTTACTGAAACACTATTTATCTGGCATACAAAACAATTTTATGATAGAATAATAAAATATAGGTACTTGATAAACAACGTACGGTAGTATAATTAAAATTGTAAACAATGTTTATTAGTGCCTAACATATATTTAAATTAGTGCTTACTATTGAATATATTTAGGACGTTCAATAAGCTATTTACATATATCCTTTGGATTGTTTTACTGTATAAAACGATTCTTATTATTATTAGCATATACAATACACACCGTGTTAAAGAAATTTCTTTGCAATCGCAGATCAGAAGCAGCCTTCTGCAAAGACATCTTTTTACTACATTTTAAAATCATATCTTAAACTTGCTTCAATTGATTCCGTAATCCAGCGAATGTTCCATTATTTTCTTCAAATATACATATAGTGCTATATTATACTTATCAGTCAATGCAAGAATAAAGTGTCTTAAAATAGCTACATTCTTTAAAACTATAATAAAAAATAATTTAAAACGGTTGAATATATAACGTCCTTAGAGTACTCTTATGCTACTAGAGATATGACGTTATCGTGTTGAAAACTGATATTATTTTCCTTACGAAGATTTTCATGCGTATTCCAAATACTTCTATACAACTTCGCATGATTTATTCATAATTTTGATGGAGCATGACCGACGATTTATTTAACTTGCTCTGTTCGTTGGATTTTAGGCTATATGCAAAAATATTTACTGTCGACACTGAGGATATCATCATGCCTTTGTTTACCTGTGAGTTTAGACAGAAAACTTGTCCGCTTCCATCAGTGTCAGATTAACTTTTAGAACAGTGCACAGTAGTAATCAAAATGGCAAGTGATAGTGACGACAGTGTAGAAAATTTGAAGCCCTATGTTGTAAGATAATTATTTCCCTTATTTTAGTTCTATTCACAAAAAAGTTGCATATAGTTTCGTTGATCTATGTACATACAAAATGCCACTTTTGAGGTATTCGAATATTTTTTATTTCGAAAGAATTGTGTATGATTTTAAAATAATGACTGATACCAATGTGGCACTCTACCATAAAGTTAGTTGATAAATAAGTAGAAAAATCTTTGAAAAATTTACGAAAAAGACCATCCCAAGCTATTTTCTTATACAACATTTTTTATCAAAACTTAGTAAATGTATTTCGTCAAGTAAAATAAGGATACAAGCTGCGGATGAAAAGTTTTATACACTAAAGTACATACCATTATATTTAAGATAATTTAATGCATTTCAGGACCGTCCAATCGTCGATTTCGCAGATTTTGTCCGCGGTCAGGAAGTATGCGATGTTTGTACAGTCGTATTATTGTTCGTAAGTGAGAATTAAATATATGCGTAATGTTTTAGGATTTAGCAAAAAGGGTAAAAGCTTTTAAAAAATCACGAAAAGTAAGTAATATTTGAAAAATTATCATATATATAATATATATATGATATATTTTGAGTATAGAAAAAAATTTCAGAAATTGGTGGAGACACAACAGGCCATAGAAGCTTTATCAATGGTAATTGATATTCACAGTTATTGTTATTATTGTTATTAATGAATAAAATCTAATTAAAAATGTTCAATGTATTTCAGGAAATGGATGCAGCAGTGAAGACCGCTTCAGAGGCAATAAAAGTAAATTTAAATGATAGTATTTTCATTATTATTTGGTTTGTTATTACGAACGTGTAGTTTGAAAAGTATTTTAATGGCAGGACATTGAAGAAATCAAGGAAAATATGTTGAAAACTATGGATAAGAATCTAAGAGAAAAGCTAGAAAGAGAATTGCTAATGCTGCAGCAAGGACAACAAAGGCAGGACAAGCAAGAAATCGAGAAAGTAGAAGAAAAGGAACAAGAGGAAGTGGATGAATCAAAAGAGCAAAAGCAAGGAGATGAAGAAATAGAAAAGATGGGAAATAAGGAACTGGAGGGAAAAGAAATGGAGGCGAGGAAAGAAAAGAAGGAAGAGAAAGAAAAAGAGGAAAATAAGGCAGAGGAAGAAAAGGAAGAAAAGAAGATAAAGGAGAAACATAAAATGGAGGAAGAAATGAATCAGGCAACGAAATCGTACGTATATTCATTCATTTAATTAAACGTTACTATAACGATATATTTTACAAAATATAAACGAAAAACAAAAATATAATACTATACCATAAATTATTATCTTCACAGAACCTCTCAGAAGTCAGAGAAGCCGGTCAAAAAATCTAAATCAAAAAAATAAGTTCTAGCTTTGAAATATTTACTAATTTATATTATATTATGAACTAGCAAATTCAAATAATTGTCGATATTAATGAATTTATTATTATAAAGAAATTATGGACTCAACATTTCTTCCTAATAACATAGTCTGATCTCAATATTTACGCATAAGGTTCAACTGCATGTAAAGAAAATTAATACAAAATATAAAGATAATCCATTTTCCGATCGTTACATATAAATCTCTGTATTAATTCTAATCAGTAAGAACAACACAATTTTCCCCACAGAGTATTAAATGATATTGAGTATTGCTGTTTGTAAGCTATGATTGTCAAGTAAATACACCAAGTTGCCTCTTGACAGGCGCAATTCAATCGTATATGGACATCTCAGGAATTGTGCTGGCATGTATGTATGCCGACTTGCCTGTCAGCAGGGGCATTAAACTAAAATAATACATTTGTAGTAAATAGGTACCATCGTGATCTTATTAAATACTAGAAACAGTAGTTATAAACAATAATTAAAACCTTACTGAGATATACTGTGTATTAGATAGATCGATAAGCAGAAAGGTTCTGTTATTCTTTACATAGACGATAGCGAGGCAAACAAAACGATATCAAAGTGCATACGAGTGAGCTTTTGGTACACACCCCAGGAGCATCGAGGAGAAGCTAGTTGGTATACGCGTTAGGGCGCACTAGGTAATATTGATTTGGCAGAGTAGGAAAGGCCGCACCCTCCGCACAGCAGCCAGCACGAATCGTCCAGGATGGTCAAGGGAAATGGTGGTAAACGGCATAAAGCACCCCCGGATTCGTCGACTCAATAGGAAAATCGGTCCGACATTGTTACAAAGTACTTCTAACCTTCCTTTTGAGTGACAGCATTGGATTCTGAATTGGCATGAACTCCCAATCGTTTGACGATTTTCCCGGAGGGTGGGATCGGCGCAAATCTACAAGCGCAGCATCCCATAAATGGTCCACCCCCTTTCCGTTGCCAGGACGATGGGAAAACTCGAGAAGCTCCTTCTCCCTGGCATTGAATTCACCCCGGCAACTGATCCCAGCAGGTTGTGCCCTCTAGACCATATAAAATATTTCTTAACACATATGATGTAACGCCTTCTTGTTTTTGTAAGTACAATTACGTACAGACACGCTTAGTTTCTTTGGGTTCATCGATCAATCGTTTTTTCCTGCACTATGAACCGTACTAGAAAACAAGTGTCTAAACTAAGCTGATAGCAGTCGCATTAACATCTCTTTATCTATCCATTTATTGAAGTGCTCTTACGAGATACTCCAAGGGGACATAATTCCTCAGTGCAATAAATATTTATTTTTTTTCTCTCTTAATTTATTTAGCCAGCTAGTTAGTTCTCTGTCTAATCATTATACCTCTGTAAACGCGCACTCCACCTGTCTTCAATGGCATGCCTTCCTGTGTTTCTTAAGTTTTCTTCTCTTTTTAATTTTTCTCCATTCCCTCCGTCCTCTCCTCTAACTCCTCGTGCCTCACCTTATACTTTTCTACGTTATAGCTGCGCTGCAGCTGAGAGACCCGCTGACGTCAGCCTACTCGGCACGGCCTCTGGACTAATATGGTGAGACCGGTCCCTCCCTAGGTTCGCTTCACAGCACACACTGCTGTATGCCTACACGGTTTCCTCCTTCGCGCTGCAAACGCATTAACGTACTCGCGCATGCATTAATCATAAATTAATCGAATATTCAAAAAGTGATCAACTTCTAATAAGAATGGTAGCACGTTATCGTTTTGAGATATCGGAGAAGAGAGATGGAGAGTAACGGAGTGTATTGAAATTTGGGAGGAAGGAAGTAAGGAAAAAAGACGGAAAGTCACTGGACTTTATTAGGCCCAAGAGACGATCTGCCATAGGATGATGCTTATGTAAACCATCCAAAGTATCTCTTGGTTATCTATCCGTTCATTCGACGGAGTCGTGTCGCTCAAGAGATAGGCTGTTTACGTGGTGAATAGCAGCGATCCGAGATGCCCTGAACCTGCGACTCAACGACCCCATCACTGAGATAACCCCTTATGAGCGAAGACTCTATACGTTCTATATGAGTCTCTGGAAAGAGCAGACACTTTTTTTTATAAGTACTTGATTATCAAAAGTTATTTCTTCTTTTTTTACCGTCTATGCAGTGTTCCAGTAGGTCTTACATCGTTGATAGTTACGCAGTAGGATTCATGGTGGACTCATGACTTCTGGTTACAGGGTAGATATGAAGAAACGAAATACATACAATTGAGGACCGGCTGGATGTGTGCTTTACTTTCGATAAGACGTATTCAGAAGTGAATAAAGTACAATAGCAATGCCGAAGTTGCTGACAACGGAAGCAAGTGGCCTCCTGTCGATGAATATGTAAACTATGGCCCCGACCCGTTGCGTACATATTCATGCATTCTTGTCTACTTGCCTACTCATTCACTTACATCAACGTGCACATCCCTATCTTCACTAGGTTAGCTTGCTCGCGCATAGTCACAATGCCAGTTCTCCCTCGATTAACCTTTGCTCAAGGAAATCGCTTGGCCTGTCCGGGCGATTCCATGCAGTTTCCAAAATGTACACCGTCGCTTGAATAGTCTTATAGTTTGCCTTGAAAATAACAATAAAAATATTGAAATTAATTAAACACATAATTCATTCGAGAGGCGTTCCCGAGCTTGATGAAATAATGAGGATTAAAAATATGATATGATAATATAAGACCAAAAGGATGAAATTGTTTCGTCCTCATCTCGTGTGATTCGTATCGCGAGACTTCTTCCTCTTATTTTCCGGGGTACCTTGATCGCACACGCTCTTCGCTTTGCCGCATTAATAAAGCGTCGCAGGGACGTTTACCCGAGAGGGGTCAGTGTCACGCTGCGGGACTCTAGAGTTCATTGACTGGATAAGCCAAGCCGAGCCAAGTGAAGTCAAGCCAATCTCGAGCCACGGACCACGGACCGGTTAGTTCACCCTTTGCCTTCTTCGGTTCCTCTTCACCTTTATCACCTAACTTTTCCATCTCCCTCGGATCCTCTAAGAGAAACTGTCTATAGGACTCACTGGATACAGCTGGTCTCGATCCCCTTTGTTATTGCATGGCCGGCAATCCTGAAAGAAGATCAAAAGTGCAAGAGATATGTGGCACCTCGTCATTTGGATTGGGAACGTAAAATTTTTAATATCGCCGATACCGAGGAAGCGGGACGAGCCGAGAAGACTCGAGATGTGCCGAGAGGTACCGAGAGGAGCCGAGAACTGCCGAGAAGAGTCATCCCAATAGCAGGAACATGGCGGACTTGAATATTCTTAACTGTAGACGCAACAGTGGTCAGTTAGGTATCAACGACGAAGAAAGCGCGTCCATTCGCGTGGCAGGAGTATATCTATAAATAAGCAACCAGACACCATGGCCAGAGAGCGAATGAATTTAGTCTCGAAGAATCTTGCTAGACGTTTACGATGGTATCGCGCCCGGGGAAACTTTGATTTTTTATAAATACAGATGCAATGCTAATTGGCTGTTGCACGAAAGATATGCGTCTGGCACAGCGTCATCTCAATATGGATGACAGTGTATCGGTCGAAAGAGAACTCGAGGGAGGTCGAGTGTGCGCGATCCACGATAGTGGTTTAGCTGGGAATACCAGTTAATCCAATTGCACGCATTTATCCTATAGAGTATTATATACACGATTTTAACCACTGAGCACAGTCGAAAAGTTTTAACCATCTTGGATAACTTGAAAAGCCTAATTCCGAATTCTCAAGCATACCCAGACCACCGAGACGATCAATCGATCACTGCTGGATCTTGATAGATACATACAGAATCGAGAGTAACAGCACAAAGACTGATCCATTATGGAATTTTCCTGAAGGTCTCCGACGGTCTCCGTTTCATGAATAACGAGTCGTGCGTCGTCGCGACGCATTGCGTTGTATCGTATCGCGTCAACGAAATGAGACTTAGGTCAGAATTTCTATGAATTCTAATAAAAGCAACCCCTCGAAAAATCAAGTGTACCAACCCTGATTATTTAATTCCCATCGAACCCCCTTAGACCTGTCTGATTTTTAACTGAAAAGCACCCTAAGTCAATACGCTCGGATTTCATGACATTAAAAATACACAGGGTATATGTGTTCATTAATCGACGCTCAATTAACTACAATTTTTGTCCTCGTTTGATAATTCGTTTATTTCTTCTCGAGTCAGCAATTTTCAGGGGAGAGAAAAGAGTGCTGGACGAAGAGGAAAGGTAGGGGTGGCGAGAGAACGAGTTGATTTACTCGGAACAAGTGTTGCGCGCTTTATATTTAGATGTGGCGTTGTCGACGAGGCGACACGATTTCGATAGTGGAAGGCAAAGCATGTTTTGCCTCGCCACTTCGTAATAGCGCAAGTTTGTCTTTATCGTTTCCACATATATTGTCCACGTTGAACTCGAACAGCCTATAAAATAATTGAAAAAATTTCCTTTTATGAAAGCGAATAGTACATCTTGAGAAATGGAAAAAAATGCTGAGTCCAGCAAACGCGCCTTTGCGCAACACTGGATTAGCTCATCGAAAGAGGGACAGGTTGTGAGACCCCGTAGGGGGTTGTTGCCATGCGAAGTGGAACCACTGAAAGGACGTAAATGTTGACGTGGACGCGAATACGGAGATGGAGAAAGGCCGCGCCCCGTCCAGTAATTGATTGAGCCGCGCCCCATGCGGGTGTTGGCACGCGCTAGCGAGAATTTAGAAGGAAATGGAAACAAACAAGACACACGCACGGGACGTTAGTGTGTTACTCGTGGAGAACGACGAAAAGAAGACTGAAAATAGATACTTGAATTTGCCTGGATCTTTGCATTCAGATGGGAGAGCACTCGGAAGGTTGTTGAGCAGAAGGGTAGTGAAAGTAATGTTACGACCTTAGATACATCGCTAGTTAAAATCCTATCGCAATCAGAAATACTTGTCTGTCCGAATACTATACACACCCTGTTGTAGACATACTATATTTTATACGATACATAAGTATATTATGGTATGCGTATGACCTACACAACATACAACATGCGACATAGGATGTATCATATCCTATAGATATAGAAACTATAGGTGGCTCCAAGGTATAGGCTATTCCTGAGGCGAAGGCGGACTGTCACGCCACATGGTGTGATAGCGCGACATTAAACAAGCAGCCCCCCTGCTGGTTTGCGGCAGCGGTGGCACCCAGGTGTCGGCGAGTTCAAGCCGAGTTCGGCAACGTTGGCTGGCGTTTTCTGAGTGAGTGTTGCTAGTTGCAAACATCGTCCAACGATATCAACCAAAGGTTTCGAAGGTCTGGAGAGGCTGGTTAGTTATACCGAAGGAACCTTTGCTCCCCTCCGACGCCTCCGTTTTCTCCTTTCGGTCTGCAGATAACGAGAACCAGAAAACGCTGCCGCTGATAATGAAAACGTTATCATGAATTCTGCGAGTAGCCAACCAAGCTACTGTGTAAAACTTATCTCATTTGTGGACTGGTTGAATTTCCGTCAAAATATTCGCGATTGCCTCGTTAACCAGTACTTACTCACGGTACACTTTATATTAGTCGAGTCGTCCGATGGGGACGCCGGGAAACGGGGTGCCGGACGTCGGACGCCAGGCGCCCTCAAGAAACTTGGCTAGCGTGACTCTTCGTGACTCAGCACACTCGCCATGACTTAAAAAACTGTCCAGGCTACTTTGGAATCATTCGAAATCCATCTTTTGCTATCGCAATAGACTCATGTGTCTTATTACGATCCACTTGCGATTCGACTATTATCTTAAATCTTCTTGCATTGACTCCAGCTACTGATAAACACTTGTATATACAATTTAATTGGCATGTGTCTCTTTATATGCCAGGAACTCATCAGACGCTATTTTTTTTCAAGCTTTTACTCTTTATTGAAATAGAAGGAAAGCCATGGCGAATACGGGTGAATGGACACCATTGGCCTTGTATTTATTGGCTTTCTGGACGATCACGAAAAAATCGTCACTTTACAAGGCAGAAGCCACAAAACCGCAGCCACATGTTACTCGAAACTAAGGATCGAATATGTATTAAGGAACGGAGAGGAAAAAAGAGGAAAAATGGCGTATAGCTACCAGTCACTCAGAGGTAAAGAGACAAGGAAAATATTAGTAAGGAATGGAGAATAAGCAGAGGGACAAGAAGGGAAAGAGAAAGAACGCGAATGGGGTGTGGAGATATGGGGAAAGGGAAATGAAGAAAATACAAGTCTCGTGTGAAGGCGGACAACACCGGCCGTAGCCCCTCGTTTCTAAACAGCAGACCAGATGATTCATCAGAGTTTGCTTCGCAGACGGATCGCCCTCCTTCTTCACGGCTCTCCATTCCTCGCGCATTGCTACCACGCTCCTATACTTACGCAGTTATAATAACCTCTTGCGGCCACCGTAAACCCGTAAGTATAGCTGAAGACTTAATTCTATTCGTACACACAAATTGTACAGTACTTGTGTAGTTCTGGTCAGTTACGTGCGTCCTTTGCAATATATTATTTTCTCTTATTCTTCATTTTTCAGTGTCTAACATAGGTACTGAACTCTCGATGCCTTTATCAGGCCAAGATTGTGAATTTCAAGGGCTTTTAAGGATGGCGTGTTAGGGCCCTCGATTTAAGAAAAATGAGAAAAGTATCTGAAGTGCCTGACAAGGCTAGAGCAGAACAGAATAACATAAAGCAGACCTGATCGGAACAGAGCGTGTCGAGAGACATGGGATAAAGAATGAAGCCAAAACCAAAGGCAGAGCTTAAGCTAGGACGAGGGACGGTCTGAGAGACAGGGCGCGCGGACTCCCGGAGCGAAAACGCATGTGTTTCACACGTGTCTTGCATCTCCAACCAGCCCATGTTTCACGGCGTCTTGACAAAAAGCCAAACCCTCACTTATTTTCCCGCGCATTCACCAGCACAGGACACAGGCTCAGACAATATTCTCTAATTGTATGTTCACTTAGGAATTTCTTTCTACGTGGCATATCCATGACTGTATTTCAAACGTTAACGGAAATATTTCAAATTACAAGCAGACGCATCTAGTATACACATTTAACTCGTTTGTCATATTTCTTCCTGCTCGAATGAAATAGTGCACAATGGCTATTGTCATCTATCTTATGTTATATAGTTATTTTTGGTAAGAGGCGTTTGTATTCTGGCAATGCTAACGAATGGGAAATGTTTTCGAGGTATAAAATCAACTGGCAAATATGTACACAGCTGATACAGTAGCTACCTAGCTCATGGAGCCGTCGGGAACGGTTGCACTAAATTACTAAGAGACCCATTGAAATCGGGCTTACTAAGAAAACTGTGAAGTCAAAACAAAAAATATATTTTTTTACTGTGACTATTTAAGCATATACATTACTACGTATGTACTATTCATTTTGATGTCTCGAGGTTCAAAAGTTCTTCTGTGAAAATTCTAAAGAGACAGAGAAATCAAGATAGGCAAAAGAAGCTAAACAAGTGCAAAGGAGATTGCTAGAAGCACAGTAGGAAGCGAACCAATGATCAAGATGGCGGTCGAATGCACATAAAGTTGCAGGTCCTGACCGGTTCGCGATACCGGTCAGGCCTCTTTATTGCTTGCTGCAGAAGCAAGCGAGATATAAATAACAAAGTCGCCATAAGCACGCGAGTCTTGAGTGCTGCTCTCTCTTTCTCCGTCTCTCTTAATCATTCTTGTCCTCAGACTTGTACTCTTTGTCACTCTTATGCGCGCACGCGCTACCAAGTTCTCATATCGTAAACATCGACATCGGTATCGATAATGATGTCCAGTTTCCTGATTAAACGAGAATTAAAAGAATGTGAAAATAATTGAAAACTATTGGAATGTTTAGAGAAAACTGCGAAACGATGTAATGTCAAACCAGTAATTACGTTATATTCTAGAAGATTTTCATATCTCCAAAGAAAACAAAGCAATGCATGGTATAAGGCTGGCCATAGCGAAGCCTGTAGTTAGCGCTTTCATAAATCAGAGACATGGCTTGTTGGAAATGAGGGGGACCACAGTGATAGGTATATAGCTCACGCAATATACTCCTCCATAGAGTATACCTATGCACACTAGCCGAGGGAAGAAGAATGTTGGTATGTACGTAGTTAGACGAAAATGACGATATTCTATCTAGGCCAACATTTGTCCCAAAGTCTTGTTGCTCTGTCCTTTGAGATTTACAAGCGGCAGGATGAGTTCACATAAAATACACATGCTGCATGCAATCATGGCTGGCTCTCGTCAACAAGTATAATATATTTTTAGCATTCCAATAGTCACCCTGTTTCATACTTTTTGGCTAACGGTGTATTCTCCTCGTGTTCCGATAATACTACCAATATATGTACATATATACTTTTGACTGGAGTTGGCTTACCTGAGCCTTTTCAAACTTGTCTAACTTGTTTGGCTCGTCTGCACTACACCCAAAGTATACGGTGCGACCTTCTGATCAATCGTACGGACTCACATTTCACAACTATCTCGAAGCAGGGGAGAGACCATAAATGAGACTATAAACTATCCCTAGCGTAGTGATTTTTATCGTTGTCAAGCGAATTCGTACGGATGTGGCACAATGACAAGTCTGACGATTCTCGCGACTCCTCTTGAGTTTTCGTGTATTGCGACACGCGGCTTTCGAAAATTTGCATGCAGGTGCGCCATCCTGGCGACTTTCACGTATACGGTGTCACACGAATAACAAAAATTAAAAGACGCTTGCTGCTTCGGCTGTGGTACAGATGAATTTCGTTGATTTCGGAATCCTGACGACATCTTTACCTGACAGTATTAGAAGATTCAACTTTAATCTAATGCTGCCCGGTAAGATGTGAACAGATACTCCTTCCGATGAAAACTCCACGTGATTAATTCTTCACAAGAGAATCCGCTCTGTCCTTACGGTTTCCAAGTATAGAGCCGACAGAATCATTTTAGCTCTTTGCTGATTTCGATGATGTCTGTTATAATGTCATCAAGAAGACAACGCAGCACCTGTAAATAATTCTTCTTGTCTCTTCTATTTCCCTGGTATTACTTTTTTTCTCTTTCATCTCTTCGAGTCACATGGATAGTTAATCGCACTGGATCTTGATTCATTAACACACTCTTTGTCACGCCATCGAACTGCATACCCCTAACCACTTCTCTGAACCACTCCAGAAGTGGATCCTCTTTAAATATTCAAACATCCAAATAATGACCACATTCACATGCAGGTGTCGTCATGCTGCTTGCGAGAAAGAAAAAGTAAGAAGCGAGCGCCTCGCTTCTGCTTTTGTCTGATCGAAAAATATTGAGAATGCAATAGAGTAAAGATACAGGAAACGATGGTAAGAATTTTTTCCAGCAACTCCTACATCTTATAAGATTAGAACCTCATTTATTCCTTCATCGGACTATATATATAAATACTTAAAATGCCTCTGATACGGAAAAATAACTGAGTTCATAAGACTTGATCGGGGTTGCTGATTGCTGCTGAGTAAAGGGTTCTTTTATATGAGATAGGAGATAGAGAGGGACGTTACCGGCCGAAGAATGTCGCTGATGTCGCGAGAGCTTCGCGTGGATGTGAATCTCGGGAAAGGAGGGCGTTCGAAACATCGTGTTCGAAAGCCATGAAAGAAATAAGAAAATAATTAACTGCCTTCCTCTCGTTTCTCCGTTTCTCTGTTCCACGGTAACTTCCCTCAGGCGACTGTAACTCGTTATCGCGCGACCAGTTGTATCAACATCTCCGCTTTATGCAAATGGTGTCTTCGAGGTCTAATATCCATAATGAGCATTAATCTGTTTTCTAAAGATGGCCGCGCCTCGAATCACTTGGTCCCAGGATAGTAGGAGAGAAACGCAGAACGCACTTTTCGAATTCCTTGCGTCAGCTCGTGAGCGAAGTAATATTTCGAAAGTGGCAGAGACTGAGGTGGCGCCAGAGGAAAAGCAATGGCTATGACGATGGTAACGGGGAGTCAGTCGATACCACGGTGCCACGTGTTTCTACTACCATGACTTTCTATTCTACAGAGTAATAAATGGAAGAATGTACTGTACGACGGACGATAACCAACTTGATTTGATGTTCAACTTATCCGAGAAATATTTATAGAAATTGTACGATGGAAATTGACGCTGAACCAGGACTAGGAGTCAGGATATAGAAGTAGGATCGGATGCAAAAGCAATGAAACATACTCCTCTGCTGGCATCTATTATCAACTCTTTATCGGTAATTATTCAAAGTGCTAACAGACTACTAATTAATGTGTGTCCTTCCAAGAATAAATATATCATTAAGGTATACCAGACGACTTTGAGAACCCGCAAGAAATGATGAGATTCTAGAAACTGTAATCATTGTTAAGTAAGCTCTTTTTTCCCGTCTAAAAGTGTCTCACCGAATACACTTACATACACACAATGCTTGCTTACTCAACTGACCGACTGATTACCCTGACAACTGACTGCTCCTACACAACGTTTATGTCGTATTCAATATCTGCGCTGCGGATAATGACTGTTTCCTTAAGACAGTGTTCATCAATCTGCTGATCACTGAAGGAACCTAACCAATGTGGCGTCGTGTGAGGACACCTTAGAAATTCACCGCACTATGGTCAACATAAGTAACTTCAAGAGGATGTAGAAAAATCGAATCTTGTAGCTTCTAAATTATAATATCATACCGTTATCAGGAGCTTTACGAGTTTTAGCTACCGGCATTCCCATGAATGAGTATGTTTTTTTCAGTTCAGCATGTCTTCCAGTAGGTTCATTTAGAAACTCCTTTACTTCTTACTCCTTTGCAAGAAAATTCTCGTTTGTTCTACATATTACGCAATGGCGTTGGCGTACGTAGTCTGCCTGATTTTGGTGATGGCGATGGCGATGGTAATCGGTCAGCCTTGGTACGAAGGAGTCAGAGTAAGCAATAGAGTTTCGATGGCGAATACTCACCTTGAAAGGATTCAGCCGTTCTTTGATGACGATTAGCAGTATGGCAAACGAGAGCATGATGAAGCTATTACTGTAAGTTAACTTTCTCGAGTGTCTAGCTGGAGCTAGTTAGCTTCTCGCAATATCTAATCATCACTCCATCCGACGACTCGCACTCTCAAACGATATGCACAGGTTCACGCTTGGTATATTTTACTTTCAGCTAACCTACGATGATCAACGAGTAATAAGCATTCACTGAATAGGCACGTGTCACGAAGATATTCAATTTCCGTCTGGATTCCGTATACCACCTCGCGAAATCTTTTGCATTCTCTAAGCATCAAAATACATGAAAAAAGCTTCCTGCGCACGTTACTTTATTTCCCTGCGGTGCCGAAACAATTCATTGCCATGACCACAGTGATAGGCCAGGGTACACGTAAGTGAATAAGGATGCAGGCAGACGAGGGTAAAAGGGAGACAGAGTCCCCGGCGATTCGTTAATACGATGATCTGGTAATTTGGTGACTTGGTGGCATGCTGAAAGATGATGGTATCTTGGGAGAGAAAGAGAATGAATGGAATGAATCGCCAGCTGATAGTTTCGACAGAATATCTAATTGCTGTACTGTGCAATATAATAAAAAGAAAACTATTTAAGTAATATTAAGAAGAGGCGAATTAAAGTGGTATATAAAGAAGATTGTTCTGCTATCTCTTTTGAGAGACTCGCGGGAATAGTGTAGTACCTCAGTATTTCAGAATGACGATGACACTTTTCGTTGCAAACGTAATGAGAACGTTGAGCGCTCGATAAAGCACTATTAAGTATCAGAAGATCGAATAGCGTAGAAGATGAGTAACACGTAGCGGGCAACAAGCAAAAGAAACAATCCGAGAACAGAACCTCACGAGCAGAAGGACCGACACGAACTGAACTGTGCGGCAGCTGACGAGGGCTGCGTGTGGCGGCGATAGGTGCGCCGGCGTTGGAGGTGGTGGCCACGATGGCAGCGGCAGCAACAGCAGCAACGCCAACAAAAACGACAACGGCAGCGATTGTACCGAAAGCGCACACGTCCTTACGATATGTAGTGGGGACTCGAAGTGCTGTAGGGGCATGGAATCCGATTCGGTGCGCTGTGGTGTCGGTTGCGGGTGCTGCGCTCTCTTGGCAGCACAGCGTTGACATGGAGAACTAAAAGACGTAAAAAGAAAGAGGAACCAATGAAAACGAAAGAGAAAAACCGTAATGAATGTGATGTGAATTTAGGTGGAAATTAAACAAGTTAAATAAACAACAGCTGAATATCTGGTAAGGGTTCCCAAGGAAGGGCACCTACCTAGCAACAGCCATTAGGAACCATGAGGTATTACGAATGACGAAGGCCCATAATCCAGCCGATAGGCCGGAAGTTCTCTCCCATCTCCCGTGTCCTCGCACTGAACCGGCACCTACAGCATATTTTACGTAAGACTGCATCTATGTATAACGAACGTTGTTAATATTATCTGCAGAAGACCTTGCGACCCCGTGTTTTCTTGTGTCCTAAATTATAAAAATTATCATTCCCTCGTACGAGATTGAGAATTACGAAACGGAAGGCATAGCTATAACTCACAGTATGTGGATGGGGGAAAGGAGGTGAGTCCTTCTCGACCTTTGCCTTTTATCACCATGTCTACTTTTTTTATTTTTTCCTTTTTTCATCCACCTAAACCTCTACCACGTATCGTTTCATGACCGCTTACGTAAGAATATCGATTTTAGGCTTTCGACGTCCTACCTCCTCATTCTTGTTTGCCAAGTAACGCTGGACGTCCTTTGCCCAGCTACGAAAACAGTTCATTTTTAAACGAGATCTTTCCTTCTATAAATTGAAACAAATATCATACTAGTTTGCACCGTGCTAAGGAAAAATGTCATTCTTGTCTGTATACTCTTTTATTCTCTTACACTTTTCCTCATTGTTGATCCACGCATATATAACGTGAGTCACCTATCTACAAATTCTCAGGCGTGCCCTTCGTCATTTCGTCCCTGACCGTTCGGATTTATAAATGTATTATATGGAGTACATCCCGAGATTCACTGCTACCACTACCAATATTGGTGTGTCTCTGTTTACCTGCATGCAATAGAGCGAGACTCAATCAAGTTCGCAGTAATGGCAGTGAATTTCGGCACGTACCCATGCTAGTGCAGCACTTCGCCAGTCTCATCATCTCCCTCATTAGTCAAGAAACAACGCTACAAAGTCTGTACTCGAAGCACAAGCAATCGACATATTTCCGCGGCAGCGTCACTGCTGGTCGTGAAGAATTTGCGGAGTGTATTAGTAGGCCATGACGAAAATACCAGCCGGGACGGCTAGTAATAGCCACAGTAATAGCGCACGTTCAGACGGCATTGACCGAACTGATCCGCTCGAATCCACCAGAGAGAGGACCCTGCTACTCAGGGTGAGAGAGAAGAGGGAGGGAACATTCTCATCGTGCCTCCAACAGTCGTTCTGCTCGTGTCTTCTCGGGTTGGTCTTGATCGTAATCCTCTAGTTGTCGGTAGCAATAGCAAACTAGAGGTAACGCTTGACTACTAGATTAGACTTCACGTTTTGCGTTTGCTCGTTCGCGGCGACAAGCCTCTCCACCTTCGCACGCGGCTACCTTATGGGAGTGGCGTCTCGACGGGCGTCCATTTAATCAACTTTCCCTGCTGTGCCACCCTTAGACCCTTCCTTCCCCTTTCTCTCATGCTCAACAACCCCCTGCAGACCGCGCTACTTTTATATTGTTTATAGCCGGGCTACACGTAGGTCTAATTTGAGAGCACCAGAGTCGCATTTCGTCAAGTCTAGCAGCTCATACTACTTGCTTCCACAGCAAAGTCCAAGGAGAACAATAAAAAAATGTATAACCGAGAAAATTACTTGAAAAACAGATTGCTTTGCATAAGTGTCACATTTTACGTAATTTCTTGTTATCTTGTAAACCAGATTTAATCGGTTGGTCGGTTGTGACCAATGAGACCATGAGGGTTGCATCGAACGAGATAGCCTTATCTCATATATTTTTCTAGTTTCCCTATCATCCTGGTTTTTTAAGCTGTTGTACTCTTTTGACAGAATTTTTCTATCTGGTTCATTTAGACATTAAACGTAAGACTGAGTGTTTTCGTTGAATCCATTTGTACTCACATTTTGCATCCTTCCCCCCGATCTGCCTCGGTGAATTTCTTTAACTTTCCTAAATTGTCCGAACTTCCTGAAGACTACTGGCACATCCTTAGGTTATGAAACTTATGGTGGAACGTGCGCGACAGATGTGAACATATGTCGTGTCCATATACTCTGCAAATAGTGGAAACAGTCATCAGAGAAAGTTTTCCTGTAACAGCAGTGAAATGTCTTATTGTCAGGCATTTCATTTGTCTTTTAACCATTTTAGAATTATACATTTAGCCCTCATTTAACCGTCCGTAATTACCTAGGCGCTTATACACTAGCAACTTATCAACTTCGTCTCTTCATCGCGGACTGAGAGCCTTCTTCGATAAATGTAACAATAAAAAACAGTATTTAGCAATTTCTTTGAGTTTCATGTTTAATTAAAGAATGAGGGATGGAAGAAGTGCGTAGGACATCGGCTTTCCACGTGCAGGTCAACGTTTCCACAACTATTTCTCGAGCACCAGTGGCGGAGGCAACGTTGAATTAAATATACCTCAAGTCACAGGACTGCCGCCGTCGTGGTCGTCATCATCGTGGTGGCCATTATTTCCCATTCTTTATGTACCAATCTCCTATTTTTATTTCTGTATTCTTCCCACCTCATTTGTATCATTGGTCAACAGTTCTCGTACTGCTATCAAAATAGTCGGTGCCACTAACTTTATTAATAAATAAATGAAATTAAGTAATTATAAAGTACCAGCTGCACAACTTACTAAGACATAGGAAATGCGGTATATCGTAAAGAGCTGATATATACAGCTACATAATACAATAAGTTGCAGGGTCGATGAGGATGGGGACGATGAGAAGGACTCTTTTTGGTATAATGGTGATCGTCATGGGGATTGAGAGTGAAGGGCAAGCACATAGGCTATAGCTTTGTACAGTGTTGAACATGGACGTTGCTCGGTTAGCAACAGAGTGTCAGATCCGAGTGAATTCCACTTGGATTGTTATCCAACCCACTGATATCGTACTCTCGTCAGCATATGGCATACATGAATTTTCTTATACATACTTAAAGATCATACACATGTTTAGATATCTTGGGTCCTTTCGAGGCTATCGAAAGAAGCGTTACGGGTCAGAAGCAGTGACGAGTATTGGAACGAAGCAGAATCTTATTGAGGGAGGGTGATGATCAGAGAGAATTATCAGAATTGACGATAATTGCATACAGTATTATTAAAACTTGTACCGCGTTTCCTTGTACTTTTTTTAAATACTGCTGAGAATATTTATAACCAATTTACTTGCCTTAAGAGTTGGACACTCTACGGAAAAGAAGCTAATACTCGCTGTGTGGAAATAAGTTTCTCCCCCGTCTTCACGTATGTAGAACACGAATTAAGTTCTCGTTGACATGCCGGGTCATCGTATCCGCTGGCGTCACGACGGCCCGATGACCCTGCCGAACTTCTTACTGTGATTATCATATAACGATTTGCAATCCTCTTCAGTCTTCTTCAATTTCTTCACCTTTATTTTCCTACCTACATAGTGCAATAAGTGTATCTTTCTTTTAGTATCCGAGATGTTTCGAATAATTTGAAAAAAAATAGAATTCTACCTGATTTAAGATTTTACAAAAATTAATATAATGAAACGTAGCATGTTATTTATGTATTTCGATTATCTTAAAATGTTAAAACATATTTAGTGCCATCTGTACGACAATTCTCGAAACTCAACGAGGGTTGTTCCAACATGGCGAAGATACTTCTATAATCATTCTTCTTATTTAGTAGCGTATTTCATAATTACTTTCGACATACCATAATTTTGTTAGTGTCATTCGATCTCATTCTTTTTAGATAACTATTCAAATTTATCCATTTTGATAAAATGATCCAATATGTATGTGTTATTTATAGGTGTCCTGCAACTTAGACGTTTCAAGGGTCATGGCATAACATTACCAAAGATAGCAGAACACAGATTGGAAAGATCATTCGTTTAGTACTGAAAGTTGCCGAATGTGGCGCACAATATGGTTTTGTCTGCTTGTTCTTGCGATGTGAATGTCCACCGTGCGATCTTGTCAAGTTTTATATCTTGGCTGCCTGGCTGTTTTGCCTTTCGTCTTTATAATTTCGTATCACCAGTGAATGCTTTGGTGTAGCATTAATGATTTGTATAATGGTAGGTTGCTAATTTAGTATGCAAGAAATCAGCTCGGTGGTCCGGAGCAGCTGTCAGCTCGGATGTACGATGACGATGTCACCGAGAAAAAGTGAACCGTCAACTTTAGATTTTTAGTCGTATGGCAACTTGTCCTTTTTGGACGATGAGAGGGAGTTATTAAATTATGCCCAGAAAGGAGAACACGTAAGTGAAACATTAGGTCATTTTGGAGCAAGACATACATTTATTGTTGACAGATACAATAATGATGCTTTGTTAATAAAACATTTCAGCAAAGCCAAAACATGGGAGCGAGACAGAAGAAAGCGAATGAATGTCTACTTCAAAACCCTTGCAGATCTCTTACCACCACTGCAAGAAGGTCGCAAACGCAACAAAGTAGATATTCTTATCCATGCCTCCAAATACGTCAAAGACCTCCATAGTCGAACAGAAGAGTTATTCTTTGCTCATGCTACGGATGCACACAGTGAGCAACATCAGCATTATATTGTTAGATGGAATATTGTATTATACTATATAAATAATGAATGATTCTTTTAGAGGAGGAATTAACGCGTTTAAAGAAGCTTGTTGCTCAGCTGTTTTCTCGAACTCAACTACTCTCTGCTCTTTTGAAAGAAGCTGGAATATCTGTTCCAGCAGAACCTGCACTTGAAAGGATTTCCCCACGAAAATGGTCCAATAAGATTAGCACAGAAGAAGGAGAGAAATGCTTTGGTAAGAAATAAGGTGCAATAAACTTAAGAGTAACTTGAAATATTATCCCAATTATTCTATTATCACTTTCTTCTAGAGAAAAAGTTAAAGAAAAGAAGGGAAAAAGTAACGGCCAACAAAGTGCCTTCTAAAAGAAAACAGACAATCTCCTGTCAATCCACATTAAAAATATCGTCAGAAAATAGTACCCTTGTCGAGAGTGGTGACCCTGCGGTCGAAGATCGTGAAAATCGTGTAAATACTATTAATCGAGACGAGAACCAGTTCGACGATATTACTGGGCTGTCGACACTGGGACCAAAAAAACTTGAACGCAACGAATCTTGCTCACGTAAGTTTCTATTCCTGATTTTTGAAAGTATATCTTGAAAAATATACGTTGACGTTAGGAACTATTGCACTCTTATTTATTTTCGCAGCTTCTGCCAATGGCGTTAAAACGGCTTTGGATGATCACAAAAGGAACAAGAGGAAAGGGAAAAGAAATGAAAGAAGAAAACTATCACCTCGTACAACACAATCTATGTCGAGTTTCGGCGCAGGCACCGTAATACTTTCAAATTCTGGCAAGGTTGTACCTGTTGTGACACCTATGAGTGCATTGCCTGCTTCTAATCTAATTGTAAATACCAGTCCATCCTCCGTTAATTCGCCCATAATTTTAAACAGTGCTCGCTCACATCAGATGATTTTCATGCAGCCTGTTGCACAAGAAACCAATCGTGTGCAAAATTCTGTGATAGCTTTACAGAACCAAGCATTTATTAGTACCGTGCAAAAAGTTGCCGTAAGCACTATACCAAACATTCGCACTAATGTTGTGCTCAACTCTCAAGATTGGTTTTCCAACGTGAAGACTATTATTGATGCTACGAAAATAGGCGGGCATAAAGGAATCTTGCCCAAAGGCAGAGAAGTCACAAAGACTACGATGGCCTACAAAGTTCCTATTCCTGCAGTTCACAAAACTAAGGTTCAAAAAATTAAGAATACTGAGGCTCAACGAGATATCGTACACTCACTCAAACTACGATCAAAGGTTACCTCGTCGAAATCAACAAAAGAAGCGCGAGGACATGGTTCGATCAAAAAAGTTGCAGTTACGAACAGTCATGAAAATGCAAAATCTAATGAATCTAATAATGTTGATGACTATGGTGCTGAGGATAGTAATGACAGCAACACCTCTTCTGAAAATAATAAGAAAGATGATCGAAAGAAGAATGGAGTTCTTAACGAAATCGATGAAGGGAACAAAGATGAAAAAAGGTTAGCAATAACGAGTGAAGATAATAAAGGAAGAAAAAATAATGCGAAGAAGAAAAAGAATGAGGATAAAAATAAAGATGAGGTAAATGTTCAATCACCAATTAGAACCGATAAAGAGCGATTATCGCTTAAACGCAAGTTAAAGAAAAAAGAAGCTTCTCACTCTGAGGAATCTGAAGTAAATAAGAAGCGTAAAAAAAGTGATAAAAACGAATCCTCAGAGAATAAGAAAGAAGTTGAAATGGCGGAATTACCAACAACTTGTAAGTCCATAGAAAGAATGCAAAACGTCATAGAAAAAATAGAAGATCATGTAAACGACACCTTGTCACATAACGGAGATTTTGCTTCACCAGAGTTTAAGGTATCTAAAACTGATAGGGTAGCCAATGTAGGCAAAGTTGACAAAGTATCAGCAGAGAAAGATTACAATGATCAAAGTTTACACGACAGTATTGAAACGGTATCGAAAATAGTACCCACTGCTATTACTGAATCCCAAACTGTTAAAATTAGTGAGGATTGCGAATCAAGTGGAGATCTCGTAGCATGTCAACTAGAGTTTGAGGCATCAGATGGAGATGTCAGTGTAGTATGTTCTAACAAGAGTACAAGTATTGAATATTCACTGGATAGAGTTATGACAAATACAAGACAGATGAACTCTATAGTTTCTAAGGATTCTGCAGCTTCTAATATTCAAAGAGACGAGACTATTGCCCAAGAGGGAAGAAAACTACTCTGTGATCTTGGTAGCAGACTCGATGACCTACTTCAAGGAAATTCAAAGACTTTGGAAATGGCTGAGAGTCCAACCATTACGCCTGACAACAGCAAAATCCTCTTAAATCTTGATACTAATACAACAACAACTATGAGAACAAAGACCGATGCATGTACTTCCAATACCAAGAGGGATGACAGTGAAGAAAGATCTGTTGAGAGAAATAGGAATGAGACATGTGAGTCTTTGAAACCTTCTGTAGATATTCAGACTACTGGCTCTGTAAAATTAGATACTTTGGCGAGAGATGCGGATGGACTGAAGTCTTTTTCATATAGCACAGATAACACTTTTATTCCTATCAGTAGAACGGAAGCTCTTCATTCTGATCTTTCAAATGACATTTTTGCCTCGCTTCAAGTACCTTCGAGTTCACACAATCCTGAATCAATATCACCCACAGCAGCTTTTCTCATGGCCTTTCCGCTAGTGTCAAGCCTGAATGGCAAAACTGAAGTTCTGGAAGAAGAAATAAAAGAGGATTTTAAATATCATAGTCAGACACCTCCGATGCTTCTACAGATAGGTACAATGGAGCCTAATAGTTTCAAGATAAAACTAACTGATAAAGAGAGTGAACTTCCTGAAGAAGTACCTAATGAATCACTCGAAATGTCCAGTACCTCCACAAAAAAGAAGACAGATTTACCATCACCATTGGCATCATCTTCATCTTCACCTACTTCATTGCGAGCACGAACCTCAATAACGCCAACTACATCAGCTACGGCATCTGCTTTACCATCTCGAGTTGTAGAACATGTAACAGAAGCAGTAATAGTTCCTGCAATATCTCGATCATCTACAGAAGTTCATCCGACGTATATCTCCTCTGCAAAGACACGTCCTTCCGTTTCCAGTGAGGACCAGTTGTCCACCTCTTCAGCAGATTTTTCACGAAGTGTGTCAGAGTGTACCACCAGTCATGTCCAACCGAAACTGTCTACAGTATGTTCTGCTGAAAAGCCAGAATCCACTAATGTCCCTTTGCTTCTTGATACTTCCAAAGTATTACCAAAAGTTTTAAATAGTGAGACAGTGAAGAAACCTTATAGGATAGTGCATGGAAAAGATGAGACAGTGCCGTCAAAAACCTTATCCGGGGTGATCAGTGCTTTGTCGTACACTTATCCAGTATCAAATTATGAAGGTGATCCTAGGACAACCGTATCAACATCTTTAGCCTCAACCTCGTCTACATTAGAAAATCAACGTCTATGCCAAGTGCCACAACTTGAGTCTCGTACAATGTTGAAATTACCTGACTCAAACGTAGTTACTTCATCGAATGCTGTTTCAAGTTCTTCTGACGTGAATAAGTATGATATTAGTGGATGCTATTCAACTTGTCAAGATTTCGTACCAAGTTATTCAAGTTTTGAAAATCAACGATCCTCTCGTTATGGGCCTTCCAGTTTCACACCTTCCCTTGAAATGAATAATACCGCGACAAGTACTTCGAATTCCCATAGAAATCTTAAGAACTTCACATCTCTTACTTCGTCTTCGACCACCTCTTCCATCTCAACCGCGATTCCCTCAACTTCTTGCACGACAGCGGGCACCGCCACTTCCCCTTGCACGGGTAATGTAGCTCTGAGTAGTGGCGTTGGTATTACTACCTCATCCTCTTCTTCCTCGCTTGTTGGACTGGAACGTGATTACTCCTTACGATCCGAAGAGTTGCTGGCTACGTCCTCACAGAATCTTCAACAACAACACTATTCACAGCCTGTATCAATAGTCAGTCAAAATGTTCAACGAAATTATGTTGAGCAAAGTAGGAAGGATGTAATCCTAAGCACAGATTCACAGAATGTTCAGCATCATGTCTATACCACAAATACGCAAAAAGATGAACTGCTTCCTAGTTTTACTAGGAATACACATAACAGTTATGCTCCTCGGGATAAGGATAATTTAAATCCAGTCTCCAGAAACGTTCAGCAAAATTATGGGCTTCGTAACAAGGAACAACAGTCCACGAATTCGCAGAATCCTCAGTCTCAGCTTCAACGTCAGCACCAGTATCAACCACACCCTCAGTCTCAATCTCAGCACCAGCATGCATTACAACATCAATCTCAATCTCAACCTCAACAACTGAGTACTTTTCTCTTGCGTAGCAAAGAAAATTTTACGCAGAATATACGTCAGGATTATGCTATACAAAAGACCCAAGAAATGACTCCAGATGAACATCGACAGCAAAAACACAATAATTACTTAGCGAAGAAAATTGAGGTTGATAATTTTTCGTTAAATTTCTACGGGAAGGATTCACAAGCAGACGCTCTTTCTAATGTAGAGATCATCGATGCCTTTCAAGGAAAACATGGGCAAACCAGTACGCAGAGCAGTTACCTCCCTTATGAAAAGGAAGGAAAGCGATTTCTTGGTGATCGGCCAGTACATTCCCTTGGAAAATCTCTTCTTACTTCTCAAAACTCTCTTCCGACGTACTATCAACAGATTCATCAACCTCATCAACCTCTTCAGTCGATTCCGAGCCATCAAAGTCATGAGAGTCATGAGAATCATCATCAGACTCAGCATCCCCATCAGAACCATCAGTCGAACCAGCTCGCTACCACTTCAAATTATGAACAAAGTACACTCACAGAGAATTCCATTAAATCGACTACTACAGTCGCTCATAACTCTTCCAACTTCAGCATCCTTTCCTGGACCACTTTCTCTCCGGTGAGTACAAACAATAATCTTGTTCACTTTGAACAGGCTCAGTCGCAAGTGGATGCATCTGTAACCGGTGGTGCAGTAACAGCACTGGGGACAAGTACAACAACAGCACCAACAGTAAGGACGACACCTGCTGAGAATAAAACTATCTGTGACAATTTTAGCTACGTTCCATTGCATAAAGACAGTTTCGGATTTTCCGGCATCCTCTCTGATGCATTCTCGGCTGAGAGCACTTTACACTCATTGCATATGGGCAAGTCTTCTACGAGGACAAAACCTCCTCTCCTAGAGATGCCGAAACAGCCATCATTTCTCGAAACCTCGAAGTTGGGCATACTTTCGCAAAAGCACCTGCAAAATCATAATCATGGTCAAAGTCATAGTCAATCTCAAAATCAAAGCCAAAATCAAACTACTCAATCCATCGATTATAAATATCTCGCAGAACCAAAGAATAAAAGCAAGTATTCAATGGAGACTGAATATATTCACAATGAATTTACTATTGGTATGGATCATCAACATCCTCATCATCATCAAAATCACCATAATCAGCAGCAGCAACAACAACAGCAGCACCAGCAACACAGCACTAAGCAGCAATCGTCAATATCAATTGCAACAAAGCAGGAAAAATCCATTCCTTACGCAATGACTAGCTACAATCCTCCAATAAGCTTTGATGTGTCAGATCGTAATAATCCAGTGAAGTATTCAGCTGATACCTATATAGGAGGGAGTTTCAAATATACGGATAAGTCGCTACCACATCAGACACAGAAATACCAGCCACTCGCACAAACTCAACTTCCATCAATGCCACCACATAACAATAGCATTGGTTACATCCATAAGCAACCTCAAAATTCCAACAAGTCTAAAACTCATCAACAGCAGCATCAGCAACAACAAAATCAACATGCTCAGCACCATCATCATAATTCTCATCAGCAGCATCACCACCACCAGCAACATCATCATCAGCAAGTCCAACCACATCAGCAACATCAGCAACAACAACAGCAGCAAAACAGCAATAGAGCACCTGTTAATTGGATGATGACACCGGAAGTGAAACACAATACAAATATCACGGATATTATACTACCGCCGATTGGAAAGGAGCTTGACCTTTGCCAAAATAATCTTTTCTCACAAAGCACGACGTACAACCAAAGTACGAGTAATCAATTTTATAATAACTACGATGTTCCACATAGTTTTCCAAATATACCGGTTCTGCAAAACGAATCGAAGAAAATTGATATCTTCTACACGGAGGAGCAACCATTTTCTTGGTCACCAACCAAAAATCCACATACTCTCGTGGAACAGAGTCAATCGATTAAATCAATTGAGCAACATATTGTTCCTCCAACTCTACCAACTCTTGTAGGTGATCTTGCTTTGGGTACCAATATTCCTGACAAGCAAAACTTCCTCTTTAGTCAGATTCCTGCAGCTGCTGTTGCGGCCGCTGCCGCTGCAGCTGCCATGGCTACTGCCGCTACTACTGTATCAACATCCACGTCTACTACGGTTTCAACGACATCATCGAGTCTTCTTCTGACATCTAGTTCTATAACATTTTCTACGCCAGTATCAACTTCAACTTCGACATCCGCTTCCATATCTACTTCCACTTCAACTTCTACATCTGCATCCAGGTCGACGGTTCCTTCGTCTTTAATATTCACACCAACAACCCCTGCAACGACTACGTCGTCATTGGCGTCAACCTCAGGATCGGCATCGACATCAATATCGACGTCGACGTCAGTACCGATATTAGCTCCTACATCCACATCAACTTCGACATCGACATCAGTTTCGACATTGATTTCTAATACTGCTGTTGGCACTGCAGTCGGAACAATGGCAACCAGGTCAGCAAATGTTGAACACACAGAAAAAGATTCAATTTCTGGAAAAGATAAAGAAACCAGTGCCCCCATCAGTCGTGATTTTCCGACAATACTTCATTCACAGCACGCTTGTGTTCAGGGTACTTTTTTGTCTGTCAGCCAATTGGTGGAACATGAAAAAGCAGAGAAATCTCAGCAACAGCAACAAGTCAGAAAACATCAACGAAAAAGCAGCAAGCGACAACTCGACATGCGCAAATCAACCAGTCAACCTACTGGAGAACATCAACAGTCCAGAACACCTGCTGAACAGCAACAATCACAGCTTCACCAAGATGAAAGGAAAAATGTTAGCGTTTCTGCTTCGTCTTCTGAGCAACATAATTTCTCAACAGAGCATACTTATCAGCAACAAAAATATCATTCGCAAAATGATTTTCAATGGAGATCTCGTAATTGCAAAAGCAATTACACGGCTGAAGCTCTCATTGGAGGTAACTCGAGTGCACTTCAGCAGAACAATTTACACCAGCAGCAGCAACAACAGCAGCAACGGCAGGAGTCAAAGCACGTGGGGCCTATAAAGTTTCAACCAAATTACGGACCCACTAAATTTGGAAGTGGTTTATCAGCATCAGGTGCAGACGTTGCGACAATGCCTTTAAATTATTTCTCAGGCGCTGATGAGAGTAACAATTACGGTCAGGTCAATCAAAACTTTAATTCCTACGCTTCATACTCCTCAAATGCATCTAGTATTTATCCTACGACGAATTTTATAACAAGTATACAAAACACACCAGCATCATCTGGTTATATGATGCCGCTTCACGAGAATACTGATTACCTGGAATCATCAAATTCATTTCTTTTACCAAATGCCACGGTAACACCTGGCAACTCAACATCTAATGTTTTGAAGAATCAACACTATGCTACTTCAGCCTCTACTGCCATTGCTGCTGCTTCCAATTCCGGTGGATCTGCAGTGATAGTCAGCGGTTCAAAGAATCAAAACTGCGAGAAACGGAATTATTCTATCTCAAAAAGAAGTAAACGCAAAAATGATAACGGTGCAACGGGAATACAGAGCATCGACTTCTCCATTTCCGGCATGAACTCACCCCTTGAGGATTATCATTCAAGCTTTCTACCTCATGGTAATGTGTACCAAAACTCATCAGTTCTACCATCTCCGGCGGTATCAGTTTCTTCGGTGCCACACTCGGCACCACCGACACTGGCTTCTGTAATAGTACCTCCACCGCCACCACCTCCACCATCACCACCACAGCCATCCTCACCAGCACTGCCACCACCATTGCCTCTGTCAATACCGTCTTCTGTCCATCAAACTAACGTCTATCCAAAGCCGGTACTGAATGGCAATCTGTCAGGATTACCTGTGCCAGGAAACGTTCAAAATATTTCACCAGCTGGTCTTGGCATGAGTTCCAATGTTACCGGAAGAGGAACGTCTGTGGCTAGCCCCATGGTGATGACACATCCTTCTGGGACAAGTTTAACCAACTTTAACCTTAGCACCATTTTCCCTGAAATTAATGATAAGGTTTTTATCTTTCTATTTATTTGAATATTACTGGCTTGTTACGTATTCATATTTGTACGTCCTTTCGCTATCATTTAATCTTATTAACTCTTTTACAGGTTGTCGGTACCGTTCCTTACAAGCCTCTCACGCAATCCGTGAATCATGGTCCTACTTACACGCACTCACCAAACTATGCGACACCTTTGGCGCGTCAGGCACTGTCCCAAGTGAGTAATACATAATTAATACAATAATGCAGTCATGATCACTTTATTAATTATTATTTCATTTCAGTTACCAGAGTCTACGACTCAATTCGTGAACAATATGCAACCTCCAGCATCGAGTGTGCTTCACTACAAGAATGCCTGATTTTTAAGAAGCACACATACCATAATGGAGCCTGTAACATAGTAAAACAATGTACATACGTTAATAATAAAAATAAAAGAAACTAAAATACTGATTATACAATCTTTACTTTCTTGTAGTTGTGAATTCGGCAGTAAACTATAAGCCAAGTGTCGATTAGCTGACAGGAGCAACGACGAATGAAAGAAAGTGGCGACGATGTGGTGTCTAGCTTAAAAGTACAAAAAGGAAGGAAACACAATCATCACTTGTGTATGCATCTGTGCCGTTATCTATGATGATAAAACAGAGCCGATTATGTCATTTTTTCTTCTTGAGAGGTGATGCATGCAACTATATGTATATAATTGCGTGAAAAAATTTATGAATTTCGAGTTTTTATGTATGTCTGTGCGTGTATGTATCGATCATGGATACGTTACCCGATGAAGTAATCTTAAAAATCATGCTAAATTTATAATTCGCAGATCGTTTGCAAGCAATACAAGTATGTCGATTTTGGAGATATGTCATTCTGCGTAATTGGTATTTTTTTAAAAATATTTTACTCAACGGGAAAAAATTTTCAAGATTTTTGATTTTAACATAAACACCGACGAGTGTCTTACTGACAAATGGTAGCGTAATTAAATTTAATTATGAAAAAAATACAATCAACGCTGTTAACGAAGATGCTTTTGCTACTCTTTCAATTAGTGATGCTGATAACGATGTTGAAACGACGATTATTACGATCAAAAGACTATTTTTCATGAGTTCTGTTTCAATTGAACTAGGGCTACTGGCGGCACCTCTCCTCATGGATGGATGAAAAAAAATCTCATGGAATACAACACACCAACGACGATTCACGAGACCCGTGGCTGGTCTAGAGCGTCGAGCATCTTACATAACCTAGCTTATACTAAAGGGACAACGGGATTGTGGGAATTTCGTAATAATAGGCACAAGAAAGTGCAGAAGCTGTCGTTCTCTGACTTACGGCGGAATCGCGTAAGGATTCTTCTGATTTATACCAAAATCGAGGATCCGACTTTAGAGTAGAGTCGCCGGAAGAGAGAAATTCTCAGTTAGAAATCACTAACACAATTTTTTGAAACTATTGGTGAAAAATAATACAACGAAATTTATCCTCCGCAACCACGATCTCGTGGTAAGTTGTATTTCCGTGATACTCCACCTTGTATTTCACATAATAATAAACACCCTCCTTGCATTCTTCCTTATTGTAACTCACTCGTACATTGCCCACGTATCTGACTACGCGACTAATTGCCTTTTCCACTTGAATATACTCGGAAATCGTTGTTAGACTTTCGTGCGCAATCGTACGTAAGATCGGATAGTATAGTGCCGACGATGAAATCCAAATATATTCTTCGACGATGGGGTAACTTTTTGCTACACGGTACCTTGACTGAGACGAATTCCGTTTTTGAACCAAAATATATCCGTCAAGCCTTCGACTGACTTATATTCCTCCTTAGCTATCGGTATATATATTGCACCCTTCCATTCCGTTGGATTTAAGGTAACGTTAGACACTGATTGATAGTTTTAGAGGCTATGGAGTATTCCCAGTGAGCTGCTATTAGCGCGATAGTTAACAAGACGACTGAGGCAACTGTTAATCCACTAACAATTTTCTTTTTCTTGACTTTTGCGTCTACGGCCTCGGTACCCGACGGAATTTTCTTCATGTAGTTGAACAAAATAGCACTGAGCAATAGAATGAATTCGATTAAGCAGACAATCACCGTTGTCGTCGATGACATTTTAATACTCTTCGAGAGATTGCCGCACTCGGGAGTGATGGACTCTTTCCATAAACTGAGACATTTTTGAATATTTAATAATAGTTTCACAGCAAATTAATGAAATATACTATTCTATACTTTATAATTGAAGTTACTATATGCTCCGAAGGTTGGTCATTGTTGCATAGATTGGCAAGTTAAAATGAAAAACTCGATTGTCCGTTATTGGAACTTTGCAAATAGTATATGTATCGCCTTCACTATGTTTATCAATATTATTAATATTTGGTTCTTGCGTACACAAGCATATCTTTACGGCAGATGTAGAGTTAAGAAAAATAAGTGGATACGTGGGCTCGTCGAAAGAAAACGCGCAAGACATCTCCTTTTGCAAGAATATCCGCATTTGGATTCCAATGTTTGCGTCGGAAGATGGGCCTGCCATCTTCAGAAATTCTCGAATCGCGAGGTTTGTCTGATAAACGGAGAGCTATATCATATGCATATACATATAGCTCTTATAGGCAGGGTGCGAGCGCGTGAGCGAGGCATTCTTATACGCGCTATAGGGACTTGCTACGCCACCACTAACAACGAGTGAGAGGGTCTTATAGCGAACCAACGCTAGGAGGGACGAAGACGCTCTTATACGAGACTGTTCCAACTCGTGACATAAATGGCGTCCCGAGCGATGGGAAAAGGCTACCCCCACTACGCTCCGGCCTGGCTTGCTTTTAGGCTGCTAGCCGCCCCTACTCTCGCTTCGCCACTGTTCCCCTAACTTCTCTCTGGAACACCATTAATGCCGCTCAGTGTATCGTTTTATTGAAAGACATCATAATTATATTTTTTATACTTTGATTCAAAACATAAGTACACTGAGTGGGCAGTATTGTTTACGTGCTTCAGGGCGTGCAAGCAACAGAGAGGGTACTATGGTGTGAGCGAAACGCCAAAGCGTAGCTCGTTGCGTCATTCTCGGAGAGCAATAGTGCGAACGAGTCGGCAATATGACGCTAGAGTTACTCTCGTAAGGTATAAACGTTCGCTGCGTAGTGCTTTCTCTGTTGCACGCACAGGCCGAGGTACGTAAACATTCACCGCTCACTGTGTCTTATCTGACCGCAGAACGTCCACAAGCAGGACACCATTAACACTAGACTTACGGACATATTGATTATCAATGTCACCGTAAATTGATAAAAAATAATAATTATGATTTCTGTAACTTTTACTCTTAAATTTCACACCTTAGGCACCTTCAGGTTCCAACTGGCTAGTGCGAATTCGTAATTCGCACCTGTGTGGTGTCTAAGAGTTAAACATGAAACTTGTAATCCGTCAAATTGAGGAGTTCCGTAAATCTAATATTAATGACGTTCAGATACATAAGTTGCTTCGTCGCAATGACTGTACCACCGGTTGCCTGTATTTGGCGGAAAAATCAACCGCGTCTTTTATCAGCGTTATCTGTTATGTAGGAAAGTAAATGGGCATGCGAGGACGACTACGACGACGAAACTGAAATAAAATAATCTTGCTCGCCACGTCAATACGCCCTAATCTCGTACACTAATCGTATTGATCTTGGTGGTAATCAATTCAGAACCTTTAATTCCTATAGTTAATGTATCAATAACATTTTCTCAAATATAGCGATTTATACGATATTTCATTCCAAACACAGATACAAGAGTTGACTCGGGTAAAGAGTCTCGGCGGGTCGTGCCCTGTATAGCCGGTTGCCTGTACTGGCCGCGAGACTCGACCGAGTCTCTTGATTACGGGAGAAGGTTCACTGGTAAGCAAACGTTGATAGACACTTGCGAGTACGTACCAGTGTGCGCTGTGACTTGACGGCTGATAATAGTAATTGATAGTAGGCGTTAAAGCCAAGCCAACGTGCCTGTAACTCTTTCAATACACATTATCTAAATTACGATTTTTACCCTGTTAAAATAGTTATTAGATAAAATATTAATTAACCTACAAGATACAGAGTGGTGGAGATGCATCGTCGCCGAGGAAGAACAAGTCCTTCTGTAGAACGTGAAGAAGGTGAGAAGAAATTTGAAAACGCAAATAAGAAATCAAAGAGACAATACACTTCGATCACAATATATACTAGTAATATCCTATTTCGGGCTGGTTATGAACGATGATGCCTAATGAAAAGCAGTCTATTTATCTGTTCCCCTCTGGTTATCACGTGGTGTGTTTATCCTGTATGTAATCGTGTTTAGATATGCATATATGAATATGCTTAGTGGGCGTGCTAGTTTGTATTGTAATTCTGAGTTCAGTGTATTGAAACGATTCGTTGTATTTTGAGAATAATCCTTCGATTTTTAGTTGAGAAGAATTTACGTTACTTGGAAGAGAATGAAGAACAGGAAGGTAATAATCAGAAAGATGATAACAACGATGAAGAGGAGGATGAAGACGTTTTACGTGCGATGACAGTGGAAGGAATACGCGATAGAATGCAGGTATTTATATCTAAATTGTTGTATTAACCTAATTATCTTATTTAATCTCTATTCTCTTTCCTTCCGATCCGTCTATTTGATTTAGCAAATGCGCCAAGATGTATTAGAACAAGTTAACGAACAATGGAATGAGATGCTCTCTGACGTGCTGCAACGACTGGAGGCGAATGTGTCCGGTTCTGGGTCTGGAAATAAAATCTTTGAAGATACTGACAAATATGTTGATCGTCGGTTAGAAGAAAAATATTCTCTTTGCCAGTACGCGTTTCTTGTTGGATGGTGTATCATCAAAGTATTTGTTTTACAGGAAATCTCAAAAAGAAGGTATTCTGTCGGACAAAAGATTCCAGCCGAGAAATTCTCTTCTCACTGACCTCTTCAAGATCAAACATTTCAGAACGATCTACAACATCTTCGTAGTTATCCTTATAATTCTATTTATAAACACTGCGGTATGCGATATCGTGGATACTGGCTCGTACGTAAATTCTTGTTAGTTTTCTCTCTAAATTATTTCTATAACTGATGATAAATTAATAACAGTAATCTTAATTGTATTATGCCGTTGCACGTCGTTGGATATGTCCTTGTTAATAATAATAACGTGAATCATAGAGAAAATTGCTTAATCACGGACTTTGCACTATAAGTAAGTCAATCGTGTGATTTCTTAACGATTAACGATATTCTATTTCTATAGAATCTACCCACGGCCTTTGCAATTAGAGTCAACGGATAATAAGTAATAAAGTTTATTCCTTAAATAGTTTTCGATAGACAATTTTTCGAGGCAATAATACATACTTTTATGCTCGAGTTTATGGCCTTGTATGCGTTTCGCGTCATAGAGATGGCGGATGTACATAAATAAGTAAAAAGAAACATAATCGAATGAATTTTCAGAACTCATCTAGGTGTGAGAACAATTATGTTGGGATTTGGAAAATTTCCTACAGTTATTAATATCTGGCTGCTCATGAAAGGGTCAACCTTCGCCTTATACATAATTTTCAGCTTTTGGGCCAGTCAGCGCTCTACGTTACCAGCAAAAAGTAAATTCATGATATGAAATAATTTATATCAACGGTAATTTAAAATTGTTTTATAAGTTATACTTTTTTTGTAGCATTGCCACGGAAGATCCTAGATTATGGTTGTTTAGCGTTATTTATACTTTATCAAGCAGCGTTCATCGCTTTGCCAGTAAAGGCTATACTTGCAGAAGATTTACCTCCAGTCTCCAGTTTAGTTGTCTTGATGGAGCAGGTGTGTAACCTTAATAAATTTTTTAGTTTATCAGAACGGATTGCAAATAATTCTAATGAGTTATGTATATTCTGGCCTAGCATAGGTTCGATTGCTAATGAAGACGCATGCCTTCGTGAGAAGCACAGCTCCAAAGATGATGCTCGAAGAATCGCAAAAGTTACAGAAGACACAAAAGTCACAGGTGGATATTTCCGGTTCGTCGAAATGTCCAGGGTTTTCAAAGTTCCTTTACTTTATGTTCGCCCCGACGCTCGTATATCGGGACAGCTATCCGCGGTGAGTATATTAAAAAAAAAAGAATAATATAAATAAATCTCAATTAAAAAGAGAAAAGATGAGAATGGACGGTACAGAAAAATGATGACGGTGATGACATGAAATCAGAACACAGCAAATAAATTGGCGAAAAGTCATCTGGAATTACACGGAAGTCGTCCTGGTTGTCTTCTACGTTGCTTTCGTATTCGAGCGTTTCCTCGTACCAGACTTTCGTCAATTTGGGGAACATCCTCTGGAACCACGTGCTCTTATACTAAGTATATTTAGTACCATGATGCCAGGGATCCTGGTCTTCCTTTGTGGATTCTATTGTCTTCTTCACTCGTGGATGAACGGCTCGGCAGAGCTGTTACGCTTCGCCGACAGAATGTTTTACAAGGTTAATAATTTTTTTTAAGTGTATAACGTTCAGTTGATTGAAATGCAAGAAAACTTTGCGAATAATTAATGAAAGCAAAACGCATGTTACAGGATTGGTGGAATTCGACTTCGTATGACGCATACTATCGTACCTGGAACGTTGTGGTACACGACTGGCTTTATACGTATATATACAAAGACATGTATGAAATAGTTACACCGCGAAATAAGGTCCTCTCAACATTCACGGTCTTTGCCGTCTCAGCGATTTTCCACGAGTACATCCTAGCATTCGCCTTCCGGTTCTTTTATCCGGTAATGCTACTTATGTTTGGCGGTATTGGTCTCGTTCTTGTCTTTCTGACCAGGAAACATGACAAAGCTGGTGGTAATATCTTCGTGTGGCTCACTCTCTGTATCGGTAGCGGAGTTCTTCTTAGTCTTTACTCCATGGAATATTATGCTAGAATTAATTGCCCACCTTATCAAGATAGTTTTCTTGATCTGTTTTTACCACGAAGTTGGACCTGCCATCGTTTGTAGTTGATAATTGATAATAAAGAGTCCATTATTAAAATTTTAAGGTGCTTTCTAGTGTTCTTCGGGATCTAGAGATATACAGTTATCAATTTATATAAAGATGAAATGAGCGGCTAATAAAGAAAAAATTAATACAATTTTAATAGTATATCGTCATTTCTATACAAATTCAATTACGAGGACAATATCGTGTGTTTGCAAACATCTGGATACATTGACCCTCTGCTGTTTCACACAACTTACTTAAATATATATATATATATATATATATATGTTGAACTTGTACACCTTCGGCGGGTAGGAATTCAGCATCCTGCGATTCTGAGAGTCCTATGAGACATTCTCACGTAATGACCACGCTCGCCCATTGAACAGCTTTCTTCGAAGGGTTAAATCGCCACTGATTCGAGTCAGGTTCAGTGTTCGAGCAGCGCGCACGATGATTGTCTTCTTGGAAAAACCGTGCCTGTGAGAGTGAGCATCCACCATTCGCCATTCGCCATTGAAAAAGGAGTAAGGATCAGAACAAAGAATGACGGAAATGGCTGCAGAGATTGAGTAATTAACAATAAATGACGAGTAAGGTTCATTTGCCCATACCGACGACAGCCTCGTCCATCAACTCATCGTCGGTGATGCACGGTGAGGCCGAGTGTGGTGAAGGCGGTATAACTCGAGGCGAAGGTGCAGGACTCTTAAGGATGTGAAGACTGAGTGATGGACTCGGCGGAAAGGTCGGCGGTGGTGGAGGTGGTGGAGGAGGAGTGTTACGCCGTGCAGGAGCTGCCTGAACCAATGCTCTTTCAGGCACTGTCGTCAATTTAGTAACCTCCTTCGGCGCTGAAAAATCTAGCAACATTTCCGCCGCTTCCTGATTACTGGTCGGACCTTTCATCGTATTAGTTTCCATTGGAAGAACACTGCTTGTTGGCGTAGATGGTGGCGGCAATGGAGCTAATGACGGTTGTGACTGTGATTGTTGTTGTTGCTGCTGATGTGACTGGGGTTGAGTCTGTTGTTGTGTCGCAGTTTGCAATTGTAACTGCAGCTGGGGCTGTTGAGGTTGTTGAGACTGCTGAGACTGGGAGTGTGTTTGACCTTGTTGAGATGTCGGTTGTATAGCCGATTGTTGTTGCAGTTGGACTGGTTGTGACTGATTTAACTGTTGAATTTTATCGTCCTTATATTTTACCAGAGCGGCATCTGCTGGTTTGGTGCTCAAATTCAGACTTTCTGGGGAGATAGAAGTGCCTGATAATACTGGATGATAGACGGGTGGCTTCGATGCAGATATTGTGGTAAGTGAGTCAGCTTTGGCCAAATTAGGAATATCATCCTTGCCTGTGCTCGTTGTACAATTCAGGTATTGTGATAGAGTCCTAGGAGGCGCATGTACCAATGTTTCCTTACAAATCTCTCGAGAATCTGCTATGCAGTCGTTAGGTTGCTGCATCGATAGATTTGTTGGTACTTCAACATCTAGAGTTACAGAAGCACTACTACTGCTATTGATACTCATGTTGCTGCTAAGTGTCGTAGTAGCAATTGAGCTACCACAGGTAATATTAGGACTAGAACTTGCACAGGTAGGTGTAGTAACAGCTATAGTTGTTGGTACCAATTGGCTCGAGACTGATGGTGGTAACATCAGGCCTGTAGTACTGGAAGCAGGAGTAGTAGTGAGAGTGGTAGTAGCAGTTGCACTGGGAACAGTTGTTACCGTGACGGTAGCAGTAGCAATGGGGTTTCCTACAGTGATTGGTATCGAAGTTGCTGGCAGATTATCCAACTTGGAGTGGCTTTGATCCCGTCTTTCCTGTATCTCTTGGGCTTTAGTATTAGATAAAGTATTGGAGAGACTATTAGGCATGGCACTGGATATGGAGAGAGTATTAGGAATAGAATGAATACCATCTCGAATACCATGACTTGTGGAGAGAGCATTCGCGAGAGGCTGAAGTTTTGATTGGTCCGATTTTTGACCGGAAAGAGTATCCAGTAGCTTGGTGACGTCACTTCGATTACTTCCGGTATTGGATTCAGGTAAATGAGATAATGTTATCTTGTTCTCAGTTTGTGGCTGCAATTTCTTCTCAGCGGAGTCGACGTTACTAGCGTTTGCTCTCGCTGAGAGTTTTGGTATTTGAAACTTGGTGTCAAATTGTTTCCTCGCACCCTCGACGATAAACTGCGGCGCAAGACCTGGTAATGATGGCATTGAGGCATGCGCAGCTAATACCTTGAATGCCCTCTCGCTGTCGCTTTCCTCGCGTAGACCAGACGGACTTGACTTCCTCGCATCAGAGCTCTTCGTGCCGAATAAACTTTTGTCACCGAGTTTCGGCATTCTGGATTTGTCGCGACTGCGGCTCAGGTCGGTAGCACCGCCGACGCCTGAAGTCTTTGGCGAACCTGATGAAGACTTTGAGAGACCTTTTGTTAATAGGCTGCTGACATTGCTACTGCCAGATGTACCTGTACCGGATGCGCCACTAGCGCCACTTCCATTTCCTCCAGATGATGACTTCCCGGAGGATGGGATCTTTTGGCTTGAGAGGCCAGAACTGCCTTTGCTACCTGTGCTACTTCCTAATTTCGGTGAGACCTGAGATTGGGGCTTTTTCGAGGCTGGACCCGAATTCACACCAGGTTTTAGTCCTGTGTGAGTCTTGGGCGAGCCATTACCCGAACCAGACGATGACGTTGAACTAGAAGATATTTTTAAGCTGCTGCTACTCGTTCTTGAGTCTTTTGTTCGTGTCTTGTTGATTGTAATCTTCATCACGTCAGAACTATGCTTTACCATGTACTCAGCTGGATTTTTTGTTTCCATACCAAGAGTTGCTGACCCTGATGCCGACGTTCCTGACCCCGATTTTCCGCTGAGGTTCTTACCATCGGATACTTTATTCGAGGGCATCCTTTCTTTTTGAGAGGAGCTCGTATTTCCACCGACTCCCATACCCAGAACCGGCATTCCTACAGTACCACCGGTTGGGCCTGAAGTACCACTACCTGTAGTACTGCCCCCGGAACCCGGGCCAGCTCCTGCGGGAGCGCTTCTGGAGGAACCGTTAGTATTGTCATCCGTACAATGCTGAGCGTTCTTTAATTTGTCGATAACCGCACTAAGCGAACCCTTCCTATTTCTGGCTTGTTGCTGGGCACTCGCTGATTTACTAAAATCGGAACCACTGGACGGCGGCGTATTTTCACCACTGCCAGGTAGAGATGTACTTGCACCTGTACCCGTCCCTGATAGTTCCGGACCCACAACATTAACCAATTCCAGTTGTTTCAATTTCCCACTGGAGGAAGACTTGTTTTTAGGGCTTTGACGTCCCGATCCCGCAAAGCTCAAAGAAGATCCCTTTCGCTCCTTAGATTCTCTCGTAGAATCCTTTCCGGATGATTTGGTCTTCAACGTCGATCCATCACTAGTACTTTTATTTGATGGAGAATTTGCAGCTGACTTAAGAGCAGACATACTTGGTTTTCCTGCACTGGTGGAGCTTCCATGCTTTGGAGAAGATATACTCCCCTGCTTCGGACTGACACTCGCCGATGTTGGCACTGGCGTGTGTTTTGGGCTATTATATACTGGCGAATGTTTCGGACTCTGAATAGGCTTATTCACCGGTTGTTTTAGAGTAGGACTTGATTTGCCCATCAAAGCTAGAGGACTAGCGTGAGTTGGTGATGGGGACGAACTGAACTTACGTAAAGTTGTCGAAGGCGAGGAAGGTCGCGAACTTATATTGGGAGGTGATTCGCTTGATTTTATACTTAGAGAAACTGCTTTTGTAAGAGGATCCTGTTGTTGCTGCTGCTGCTGTTGTGACTGTTGCTGCTGTATTTGCGGTTGCGGTTGTTGCTGCTGGTGATGATGATGGTGATGGTGATGCTGTTGCAATTGAGTAGCTGTTGATTGTTGCTGTTGCTGTTGTTGCTGCTGTTTAGGTGGTAATTTATCCGGTGGGCCCATTGGACTATCTTCACGCTTCCGCTTTCTTTTCTTCTCAAGCTTACTTTTGTCATCAGTCTTGCTTTTTGAACTTTTTCTATCCCTGCGTTCATCCGTGAGATTAGTCTTGCTGGATGGTGCCGCAATTGGTGTAATTGTAATAGAACTGGGTAAGGTAGCTTGAGCCGATGAGGCGATAGGAATAATTTCAATACCTGGTCGTCGCTCTAATCCCATACCAGTCAGTACAGAATTATAACTCGAATTCTGACTAATTCCACTGCCAGATATTGGTGTTATGCTCACTGAGGGTGGTACCAGGCCCTTATTGTCCTCAAAGATATTTGGACTTTTCTTCTCTTCCCGTTTCTTTGTTTTGCGCTCACGTTTAAGAAGCTCTTCGACGTCCTGGAGCTCGTGTACTTCCATGATCTCATTCTCATTATCAAGATCATAATCTGAACTTTTGTCTGTATTAACTAAATCAGCAGCGTCAGCATTTGATAGGTCTAGTCCGCTAGTAGCAATACTGGCCACTGATGTTGGTGTCGGTGTCCTCACCTCGTTTGGGTTTTCTCTACTTACAGTACCCCCAGCACCGCCCCCTGTTGGTGTTCCAAGTGGCGTCGAATCAGAACTTGAACTTTCGAGGAGTATTTCTCCCGGGTCTTCTCCCTTTCGTTTAGGACTTCGCCAGAGACAGTCAGCTGCTGCAGCTGCGGCAGCAGCAGCCGCAGCAGCAGCGGCTGCTGCAGCAGTCTTTCTCTTTCGACTTTTTTTAGGACGTTCTGCATTTGTTAATAAAGTACTGGACAAATTTCCTGATGAGTTTTTTGTTTGGCCGAGTAATGCACCCAGTTGTAGAGGATTCAGCATACCGCTGCTGTTTGTATCGGATTGGCCGGAATATGACGGAAAACCGATACTATTCTCCGCTCCGGCATCTAAAAAAGACTGCTGAGAAGATTGTTGTTTAACAGCAATAACACTTCCACCGCCAACGCATGCACTGAGGCTGCCATTCTCTTGCTTGATATTTATATCTCCATTATTAAAATCCGACAATCCAGAGCCATTAATGTGACCATTTTGATCCCTTCCTGAACCCATATTCATTTGGCCGTAATTTCCAGTAGCAGTACCGTTTCCACCACCTAATCCACCACCATTGCCAGATCCACTTCCACCACTACCACCTCCCCCTCCTCCGCCCCCACCTC